TTACAAATCAACCTAATGAAGGAAGTAAATAACTTTTACATTGAAAATTACAGGACTCTTTAAAAGGAGATTGCAGCCTACGATTTAGCTCAGTGGGATAAGCACCTGCCTGGCAAGCGTGAAGTCGTGAGTTCGATCCCCGGTATAAACAAACAAACAAACAATAAATAAATAAATAAAGGAGATTGAAAAGGATGTCAGAAAATGGAAAGCTATTCCTTGCTCTTGGATAGGAAGAACCAATATAATGAGAATGGCCATACTTCCAAAACTGTTGTAGAGATTTAATGCAATCCTGATCAAAACGCCAAGAGCATAGCTCACAGAATTAGAGAAAATAATCCTACAATTCACTTGGAACCAGAAGAGACCTACAATGACAAAATCAAATCTAAGCAATAAAGTCAAAGCAGAGGGCATCACAAGCCCCAAAGTGACTGTGATACATACACCCTGGTACTCAACAAAACCAAACAGCAACAGCAACAACAACAAAATCCCTGAGGATCAAGGAAACAGAATAAAAGATGCATAAACATCTGCAAACTCACTCAATCACCTTATCTTGCCCTGAAACACTTGCCCTGAAAAAAAGTCAGACACTTTAATAAATGTTTCAGGAAAAACTCACTTTCCACAAGTCAAAGATTAAAACTAGACCGTATCTTTCAACACGCACTAACATAAAATCGAAGTGATCAGAGATCTAAACATTAAAACAGATTTTTCATGGTCTAAGGTTTCGTTCTTTCCATAGTTTCTAGCTGCAATCCACTCTTCTAGATCTGATATCCCTGCCTTCACTCAATCAGCTGTGTATAATTTCAATGGAGTTACTGATCTCCTAGATTTCTGTTTGGACCTGTTTCATGGAATTCTTTGATTGGAAAGTTTGAAGAATTCCATGCTATTTCAATACTTCCATACTCAAGGAATTAAGCATGAACACTTACTGAGCACACACAATGGAAGGGCTTTAGGGGAGAAAGTGTTGATTGTACCCATTGTGCTCAGACATGAAAGTTGACATTACTGCTCCTATTCATAGGTGAAGAAAGGAAGGAAGAGCTTAAGGCAGAGCCTGAGCTTCTCCAATGTTACTGCACGAAGAAAAAGAGTCCCTGGGCTCTTCCTCAGTAGCAGATGCTGAGTCACAAGCCTGGCTGGAAGAATCCTAGCTTTTAACAGCAAATATAGCCATGCCCATGGGGCTGATCCCAACCATGTGCATGAGAAAGGACCCAAACCAGAGTCACTGCACAGAAAGCCCCAGGATCCAAGCCCAAGCCCTGAGCCGGAAGCTGCACATCTTCTCCGAAAGATTCTTTTAAATGAGTCACAAATCCATGAGAATTCCATATCTAGCTCCCTGCCCCACTGAGACCTCAACGATATGGCCAGGTGAGAACGTGAGCACCTGCCAATCTGTCACACAACACAGCAGTGGGATCCTTTCTCCAGAGTCTTAAGTGGCTATAGTGGCTATTTGATCCCCACCGCCACTTCCTCTCCTCTCAGTTCAGAAGTCTGGACTTTAGTCCAGGGACAGCTCAACATCAACCCTGGGATTCTGGTCTAGACCAAGCCTGGACGCCCAGGCCGAAGGGTGGAGCATTTGCTCCAGGCCTGGCCAATCCTTACACTTCACACACACCACCACCACCACCACCACCAGAATTGGTCACCTGAACAGAAGAAGGTCCAATCACCACCGGAATTGGTCACGTGAGCAGAAGCAGGTCCAATCAGAGAGCTCGTACAACCTGTGGGAAAAGCTACTACAAGGCTTCTGCTCACCCGCAAAAAGGGGTGTGGCTACCACAACTAAAGGGAAAGAAAGAGGGAGCGCCAAAGAGATGGAGGGCGCCATTTGCCTCAAATCACCAAGTCCCCCTGTGCACATAGGGAAGGACCTGTCCAATAAAGAACAGAGTAGAGCAGGGCAAGGCGAGACCACGCAGATTTCTACACTTGCTTTAGCATGTCCAGCTGATCCTCTTTGCCCTTTTGGAAAAGAAACCAGGCCTCCAGGTTCTGGGATGGTGACACCTGCGTATTTTGTCATTTCTTCTGGGTGCAAAGAAGACAAAGTATTGGGTACATGCCCAGTAAAAGGAAGTTTGGAGAAGTCCTTATCCCTAGGGGAAAAAATCTGATGTTTAAAATTCCATTATGCAGTGCCGCTTAATGCAAGATCACACAGCCAGGCAAACACGCACCTACTAAGCTGGTGTTTGTGCAGTGGCCTCATGTGGGAAAACTTATGTTTTTCCATCAAACAGTCACAGACACGTGGAGCAGAACACCACACGCACATTAGCCTTTAGGACAAAATTTGAGACTTCAGAAATGATCACTGGAGTGATGACTGCAACTACAGAAAAGGGTCCAAATTACCACCGGAAGTTAGGGACACGGCAGGGGAGAGAACCCAGCTCCAACCCACAGGGATTCTGCACCCCAATCTCCCTCGCCTTTGCATGGTCCCTGGGCCACTGCGCTGTTCTTTTACCCCCATGTTCTCACCCGTACAACAATCCTGCTGTCCAGGCCAGGGTCTGTCCTAAGAAACAGCCCCAGAAGACAAGGACTGGTCCAAACAGTCATGATGTAGTCAGAGACCACTATAGGGACAGAGGACCAATGCCTGGGCCTTTAACCTGTTGCTTGTTTGAAAGGATGATTTTGTTTTGTTTTGTTTTGTTTTTTGAGATGCAGTCTCACCATGTGGTACTTTGGAATAGCCCTGAACTCACTATGTAGCTCAAGGTGGTCTCAAACTCAAGGCAATCCTCCTGCCTCAGCCCCCGATTACAGACCTGCACCACCACGACAAGTCTAAAATTGATTCTGAGGTAATCACAGACTTACAAGTGGATTTAAAAGTAGGATTAGAGCAGTCTTTATTAAAACCTGTGACTCTTGCTCTGGCCAGCAAGATTCTAAGAACAGAACAAAGCTTGCCCTTTGCTTTGTGAGACTCTTGGTCAAGCTCTTCTTGCCTCCGCACATAGGCACAGTGCTCCTCTGGAGACTGTCTTCTAAAAGAGGGTGAAACAAGGGTTATGAGCTCCAAATTTGCCTACATCAGCTCAGCACCCTTCAACCTGAGGACACCCCCCTCCCTGGCATTCCTTGTCCCACTCCGCTGAGCCAAATCCCAAGCCTGTGGGTAATGGAGCCCCTCCTCTGGGTAAGCATGGGCTCCACGTCTTGCAAACTTCCCTAGAATGTTACAAAACAAACTGGGTCCACCTATGAAATCTGTGCTTCACAAATAGGCAGCCTAAGACCTGCCTGACTCCTCTCTGGTCACCCACCAAGCCACAAAACGGACGGGAAGAGGTTTCTTGATCTCAGTACCATTGACCATTTAAGTGAGATGATTCCAGTCATCCTGTGCATTGTCCGCCCTCTGCCACTTCCCAGGGTTCTATCTGCTGGAGACCAATATTCCCCACTGTCAGCCACAAGCACCATCAATATCACTGGACAGTGTCAAATGTCCCCTGGTTGCTACACCAAACCCACTGAGAATGACTGCCTTGACATTGTGTGCTCAAAACACCAGCTTAATTTTGCTTTGGAAACTGCGACTCTCTTTGACCAACAAACAGGCATTTTCTTCCTCCACTATCACATAACATAATCTCTTGAAAGCAGAAACAACCCACATTTGTCTGACACAAATTATAATCCCAGCACTCTGGAAGTCTGAGGCAGGAGGATCACAAGTCCTAGGTCAATCTAGGCAACTAAGCAAGACCCTTGTAAGAATTTTTAAAAGGCTGGGGAGACCCTCCCCGTGAACCAGTTCAATGTGCAGACCACTGCCAGAGTAGGGACAGCCACACCCCAGCTATTCCCTGTGAGTCAGTGCCATTTGCAGACTGCAGATGGGAAGAGAACAAGGCCTTGCCAAGAAGCAAGCCCTCCCGTACCATGCATGGGCCACCACTGGAATCGGGACAGCCAGACCTAAGCCCCTTCCAGTGCATGGGCTGGCAAACAAGAAGATCAAATCCCCCCTTCCTCCCTTCCCATAAGTGACCAGCTGATCCAGAGAAAGACAGTCTGTAATGATAGTTATTGAGGTGAAATGCAATTTATGCTTGAATTGTTAGGTGTTTCACTGACTTTGCAGGTCTAGGGCCAGTGGTCTGACCATGTATTCAGAGGATAGCGGTACATAACGTGGCATCTGAGGGGATCTCCTTCTGAGAGTCGTAACCACTGTTAACTCCCTATGCGCTTGTTTTGAAGTCCTATGTCATTTTCATTGTTTTGTTGGGTTAGGGTTTATTCTGATTGGTTTGATTTGACTTGGTTATATCCAATGGCAAGGGCAGCTATTTCAAAGATAGCAAGATACATTATAGTAGCAATTTTGAACTTACTACTGTCTTATTAAGAGGTCTTTTATTGCATTCATTGTTTTATTTTTGTTTCTATTCTGTTCTGTTGGATTTTCACTATGTCTGAGGGTATCTGCAGTTATTTTGAGAACAGCAAGAGGCTTTATGGTAACCATTGTTGATTTCATATTGTTTTGAAGTCCTGCATCACTTACACTGCTTTCTTTTGATTGGTTTTATTGTTTTACTTTCCTTGGTTTTATCCTCTTTAAAATAAAAATTAATAAAATAGAGCTGGGGGTGTACCTCAGCAGTAGAGTGCTTACCTAGCATGGGCAAGGCCCTGAATTAACTCACAGCACCAGAAAAAAAAAAAAAAAAAAAAAAACAGAGACAGAAAGAACCAAAGAAAAAAGACAAGAGAGAAGAAAATCAATATTTCCATATCAAATTTTAGCGTAATTATCAGTGCATTTCCTGTGTAACATGTGGGAGAGAAATGGACAAAAATATTTGGACAGCGGTCCTTTATCCCATTGACCTTTGAGAAAATCCCCATCTTGTGCACACCTACAATATCTTCTGCTGATTAATGTGGCTATAAAACAGGGCCTCGGCCTGGGCCAGGCTCACAGATGTCTCACGGACACACCATGATCAGGACACTACTGCTGGCAGCCTTGGTGGCTGGAGGTAAGCCCTGTCACCCTTGGGCACTGCTCCCTCACCCCTGCGAGGGCTGGGAATGGGGCCTCTGCACTCCTGTCCCCTTCCCCTACACCCCTACACTCAGTGCTATAATTATAAGAAAACTGGAGTGGGTTAAGGGCAGGAGTCTGCAACCTCTGGGAATCCTTCCAGGACGGGTTTCCTCGCCGGGATGGGATACGGGGTTGGAGGCTCTCTCCGCTGCCTGGATCCCCGCTCCCAGCACCTACCACCTCTTCTCTCTTCACAGTTCTCAGCCATGAGATCTCCACTTACGAGCTCAATCAGGGTAGGGTGGTTGGAGGACAGGAAGCGCAGGCCAACAGCTGGCCCTGGCAGGTGAGCCAACCACACTGTCCTTGCTCACTCCCTACCCTACTGCTTTCTCCTCACCCCGTTTGCCCTCCATCCACCTTGGGGTCTATTGTGCTCACAAAGAAGAGGATGGGTGGAAACTTGAAGCATAGAAAAACTATTTCTGTGCCTTTGAACAACCAGGGCCCTGGGGAAAAGTGGCTCCCTCCAATTTAATTCAAGAAGAAGCTGATCCACACTACTACCCAGATGTACACTGAGACATTCACAATCATTCTTACACTGCTGTTAGCCAATCACATGCTAGCTAGCTAATGTACCATTATTTGATGAACCATTCATCTCCATTTATGTAAATGTTCCCTGTTTTAAGCAACCAATCAATGCAGTTTATGCAGATTAACCCTGAACCATAAGTCAACACTATCAATCGATTTAAATGCTTCTCACATTATTATAACCATCAGAATACCATGACTAAAATATTGGTGAGGCACAGGCACAAATTGGTACAGTGTTACTGATTAAACTTTCCAAGAAAATGTATGGGACTGGAGATAAAAGTCAGCAGCACAGTGCCTACCTGGAAAATACAAGGTCCTGAGTTCAATTTCTGGTACCAAAAAATGTGAAATTTACTGTTCACATGAATATAGTAAAAAAAAAAAATTCTCTTGTCTGGCATAATTGAGACTAAGTAATTGAAAAATTGAGTATACCGAAATTATCTTAAATCTTTGCTTTAGTTTAGAACACGTAGGTTGTGGATTCACTGATCCTTGGAACTGCTATGTAGTCCAGGCCGGTCTTGAACACACAGTAATCTGCCTGCAATAGTCTCTCTAGCACTGGGTTTACAAGCATGCACTTACACACCCAGCTCAATCTTTTGAGTCCTTAAGAGCCTTTCTCCTATACTAAGTCACCTACAAGTCCATTTCATTAAAGGACCAAGGACTCTGAGACACTCATGCAGAAATCTGAGTAATTTTCTCATTTCCCCCTCAATCCCCCCACTTTCTCATGGGCACCAGTGTCAGAAGCAAAGACAAGACTTCGCTTTTCTGGCAGCTCACAGGAGTTTCCTCTGAGCTGACTTTATCTATTAAGTATCTACCAGTAGGATGCAGCAAGCCAGGCCTCTGAAAAACAGAGACTAGGAGGACTTCACTGAGTCTGTATTAGGGGGGTGCGCTAAAGAAGTCAGCGGGGAATTAATCACCATCAAGACATAAAAGCTGTGAGAAGGAAGAATAAAGCAGGATGAAAAGACACGTGTGTGGTTCTGCAGGTGTGTGTGTGTATGCGCGCACACGCGCTATTTTGGACAGAGACCGTCTGAGGTCTGAAGGAGCAGGGCCATCTGGGACCGTGGGACTGGCTGTCTCAGTCACCTGGTGCCATGCCTCTCCCTAGGTCTCCCTGCAGTACCAGGCCTCGGGCTCCTGGTACCACACCTGCGGAGGCTCCCTGATATCCAACAGGTGGTTCCTGACAGCCGCCCACTGTGTGAGGTAAGACCCCGTCCCTAGCTCAGGCTGCCGACCTGAGGCTGAGTCACCTCTGACAGCTGCGCCCACAGGGCCTGCGCCCACCACACACAGCAGCCTTGCAGAGCCATGCGGCTGGCCCAGAAAGCTTTGGCCCCTCTGTGACTCAGCCTGTGGGTCACTGGCAGGCCAGGACAAGGTGGGGTTCACTGCTGGGTGTCAAGACTGAGGGATTTGACAAAGGAGGAGACAGCCAAAACCCCACACTCTTGGGGTAACCAGATGTGGCCGCTGCATCTGGAACTGTGTTGCTTTAATGACTTCAGTGATTTCTGCAACCTTTAATATCACCATTTGTCAAAATGGTATAACCGAGCTCAGTCTGAACTAAAGCAGATGATATACAAGAGGGCCTGGTACTGAGTAAGTGCTTGATAAAAGTCCACTATACCAGGCATGATGGCACACTCATGCAATCCCAGCACTCAGGAGGCTGAGGCAGGAGGATCGCCATGGGTTCAAGGCCAGATCCTGCCACAATAAATAAATACATATTACAATTTATATATCGAATTTAAAGACCCAAGAAAAAGAAAATACGGGGCAACTTGTTCACTGTCCTCTCGCTTCTGTGTGTCACTGGCTTATTTCGCATCAATTGAGACTCACCTGTGTGTCTCTCGCATCCCTTAGGCTGGTGTGACCCTTAGAGGGAGCAGTCTCTTCTCCGACCAGATTGATATTTTGTTGAGAAAGATAATAGAGGCCTGGGAATCAGGTATCTGGGATCTAGTTACAAGGTCTCACTTGGCTGAGCAACCCATTTGGGGCCTCAGTTTCCCCATCTGAAAATGAGAGGTGGAAATAACCTAGAGAGTGACCTACAGGGGAAACGATTCATGTTTTATGTCTATCCATCTCATTCCCTTCATAACAATGCAGTTTCTGTGATTACAGCTTTGATTACACACTGTAGATTAGTATAGAACAGTTGTGTTATTGTATAATTGTTACGTCATTTAGGTTTTACTAGAACTTCATGGAAGAAAAACCCCAACTCCCACTAGTGGGCCCCAAGCAGTAGTTCACTCCAGGCCCTGGCCTGCCTTATGTGTGGGGCATCCTTGCTGAGGGTCTAAGTGAGCAGGGAGCTGAAACCCTCCGTTTGGCCCATTGCAGTAACTCCTACACCTACCGGGTCGTCCTGGGTCGGCACAGACTCTCCACCAATGAAGCTGGCTCCGTGACTGTCTCCGTCTCCAAGTTTGTGGTGCACCCCCAATGGAACAACAACCTTGCCAAAGGGTACGTTGCATCTGGATGTACATGGAGTTGGGGTGTGCAGCGGCACAGGGGGAGGTCATCCACACCCCTACCTCTGACTGATTGGAGCCCGCCCCAAGGCTGCCAGGCTGTTATGGGGAGGGAGGGGCAGAGTCCTGTGAACTACCTGCTGTCCTCTCCAAGAAGCATGCAGAACCCTGTGCCCAGGCTCTCACTGACTCTCTGGGTCCTGAATTCATGCCAAGCCTTGGGCCTACAACGCTGCCTCAAAACCCTACCTGTCAGTGGACTGGAACTGTCTCTCTTCACATTCCAATAAGGTCTTCTACATCTCCAAAGATGCTCTGTGGTCCCACCTACAAGGACAGTGTCAAGACAGTGCACCCGCATGATGACAAGGACTTCTGAGCCCCTCAAAGGTTAGAAACAGTGAACCCTCCCTGCTCAGGCTCTGCCTCTTTCCTGCTGCAGGTACGACATCGCCTTGGGCAAACTGTCTCAAGCTGTCACCCTCAGCAGCAAGATCCAGGCAGCCAACCTGCCAGCTGCAGGCACCATCCTGGCCAACAACCACCCCTGCTATGTCACAGGATGGGGCCGGCTGCAGAGTAAGTGCCAGCCAGGTGCCATGAGCCCAGGCAGAGAAGGTCGGAGGTGTCACCAACATCACCCAGGATTAAAGCCAGGCATCACTGGAAAGTGCTTAGTACACTAACAATTGAACATGTTAGCTTAGTATATGTGACATCTGTATGACCCAAGGGCAGAGTCCACAGCAGCACTGACTCTGTGACCTCAGGGTTCCAGAGCCCCTTCAACATCGGGAGGGGCTGGAGCCACCATCAGACCCTCCTATCCCATAGCCAATGCAGGACTCTGTGCTATCTGGCACTGCCTCTGAGAACTAGGAACTGTGAACAGCACTGACTGGTGGCTCTTCACAGAAATCCAACAGTCAAAATTCCAGTGACATTAGGCCACCACGGACAAACACAGCACCTGACCTTCCTTTGTAAAACAACAAAAATTCTGAAAGGCTCAAGAGATGCTGATGCCGAGGTGGTTAAAGACATAAATCTACAAGTAACGAGAACATACAAACACCCAAGGAAGCCAGGAGGATGGAGCTATACGCTTACCACGCACAGGTGTGACTGCTCAGAACACACCAGGGAAGAACCAATCTCACCCCAGATGTCCAGAGCAAGGGAGGGTCCAGATGCTTGGCTTTAACCTCTCTCTGTTAGTCACTATGAATCCCTGGACAAGTTACTTTGGGACTTCAGATTCCTCATCAGCAAAACGCAAATTCTGTTGTGAAGACTGAAAGAAATGATAAATGTGAATATGCTTCCTCTACTGCAAAATATTACCTGAGCATTACAGGTATTATCACCATTGTGATCCTATAGGAGATACAATTTCTCTTGTTCTCAATGTCCCACCTAACAAACAGGAATAAATGGGACTGGAAATATTTAGAGAATATTTAATTTTAGAGAAGTCTTCAAAAGCACAAAAATAGCAATGCTTCCCTTTTCCATCAGAGCCAGTGGTGACACTAATGGAGATGAGGGTGGCAATGACAAAATCTCCCCATTAGGGGCTGGGGATTTAGCTCAGCAGCATAAGCGCCTGCCTTACAAGCAGGCAGTCATGAGTTCGATCCCTGGTACTGATAAAAAGGAAAAAGACAAAAAAAAAATCTCCCCCTAAATACGATAGAAGGCTCTAGATGCACACAGCCTATCATATTTAAGATGTCCCAGAGTTCCATGTACATATTCCACAAAGAAAATTCATTACAAAAATTGAAAATAGTCAAGTGAAGGGCTGAGAGACAGCAAAACATCAGAAACATGCTAGAATCAGGGACTGGGAAAACCATAAGAAACTCAGGAAACCCTTGACCAAGATTTGCTTTTCTTGTGGATTTTCTCGATGTGAAAAAAAATGGCTGTCACCTCCAACCTCTTTGCATCTCTGGCTCCATGCTAGGGAAAAAGATTATTGGCTTAGATCGAGTCAGGTGATCATCTCTAAGCCAATCACCAGGAGCCAGTACACTAACCAATCAAACATGAGGAAACAGTAGGGACAATATGTCTGCCCCATTGAAACACTTTACCTGGAAGAAATTAACAAAAGCCAAACAGAAAACCTATAAAGTAGCCAAATTCCCTTTCATTCAGGATACTCTTTGTCACTCTAATGGCTCCCTTCTGGTCTCATTCAGCCAACGGGCCGACCCCTGATGTCCTGCAGCAAGGGCGGTTGCTGGTCGTGAGCTATGCCACATGCTCTAGCTCTAGCTGGTGGGGAAGCTCCGTGAATAACCAGATGATCTGCGCTGGGGGTGATGGTGTGATCTCCAGCTGCAGTGTGAGTATGAAAATCGGGTGCTGCCTCAACAGCAAAATGAGACCAGAAAAGGGGAGAACCCCAGGGGTCCCAGCATCTGTCCTCCTGCCTCGTGGTAGAGGTAGTTCTGGACATTTCAGAACCTGCCCATTGTCCTTCTAATATCCAAAAATAATGTCTTCAGATTCTACTTACACTGCTCACCCTGGCTGACTGCTGGGAAGTCTTTCTCACCAAGGTCCCATTACCAACATTCCACCTTCTTCTATAAGAGTGGACCAAGAGGAGGTATTTTCTGGGTTAGGGCCTTTCTAAGGTCATTTCTATTTAGTTTTTAATTAATCCCATTAATGTTCCAAAGTACCCCTCAAGGTAGCTGCCATAGACTCCTTCCTGGAGACAGTGTCTTCCTCAGAAGGAACTCCTATGTTACAGACCCCTCAGGGGACTAGAAACAGATTTGGAAGGGTCTTGTGACACCCTTCAGATCAACTGTGCCCTTACATTCCACACACATAGGCTCCCAGGAAGCTCCTGGTCACAGGAACAAGTAGCAGATGGTTAGCGTAGAGCTGGGAGCCCAGGACTGGTTTTAGAGGACAGGGAGCTCTGTGTTAGAACATCAATGCCCTGGGAGTAAAGGTTCCTGTGGGTGGCACCATCACAGCCCTCACCCCGCACTCGGCTTCCCTAGGGAGACTCTGGAGGGCCACTGAACTGCCAGGGAAGTAGCGGCAAGTGGGAAGTGCATGGCGTGGTCAGCTTCGGGTCCAGTCTGGGCTGCAACTACTACCGCAAGCCGTCCGTCTTCACCCGGGTCTCTGCCTTCATAAGCTGGATCAATCAGGTAAGAAGCAGACCTCCCTGAGTGCACTTGAGTTGTTTGCTTCTCTCTGGATACCACAAGAGCCTCGGCCTCTGGGAGCCCAGAATGGCCCTTCATCCAGCGAGGCAGAGGAGGGTGCACAACTGAGCAACTCTGCTAATCATCCCCCACAGGTTCCCTCTGGTTTCATTTTCACTTCTTTTCTGTGTGTGTGTGTGTGTGTGTGTGTGTGTGTGTGTGTGTGTGTCACTGGGGACTGAACCCACAGTCTTCTCACGGAGCTACATATGCAGCCATTTTTCATTTTGAGACAAGGTCTTGATAAAGTTCACTATGCTGGCCTCAAACATGAAATCCTCTTGCCTCAGTCTCCCAAACAGCTGGTGTAACAGGCATCACCAGTATACCTAGTCTGGGGACACATTTTAACACGCACACACACACACTCACTGCCACCACCTCAGCTGCTCTAATGTAAAATCAGATTGAACTAAACCAGGTCACCTCAGCATGGTTAGGACCCACAGCAGGTGAGCACGGCAGTGCTGGTGACAGAGCCCACTAAGTGGAGGACTCTGGTATCTGATTTCATCATTTTCAGTTTAATTTGCACATGACTCTGACACTGAAATAAATTGTCACCATTACAAAGCCAAGTGTGAAATCTCAGATGTGACCTGTGGACACAGGAGGACAGTCCCAGGGAGGGAGGAAGCAGATGGCCTAAATTTACCCATTTTCCCCCACCACCTCCTCCTGGAAATATCTGGCTGCTGGCTCTACCTTGCTGACAAGTGACCATGACACCCAGCAGCCCCAAGGGGATTGTAGAGAAAAATGGAAAATTGTGAAAGACAGGCCAGTTGTAGAGATTTTGTTGTTGATTGGTTTCTTTTCTATTTCCATGGGGCAAAGCCAAGACTCCAAGTTGGAAGAAGGAAATCTGAGGTCAGCTTTTGCTGTGCCACCAGCATCCCTGAACAGCATCCATGATAGCACAGAAAGATGCGTAGGGCTTCTTCCCAGCAAATCCTGAGACCGTTTTCCACTGCATGAGTCCCTGTGATTGGGGCTGCTACCACGTTCAGGACAAAGAAGGGGCCAGGCAAAGTATCCTGATTTCTTGTCCCAGGCTCAAATGTTCCTAGTCACTGACACAGATGTGATGCAGCAGGCCAGATGGCAAGGGCACCAGAGGAAGAGCAAACCTTGCTTGGTAGCTGGGCAGGGGCCCTGTGTTCATGGGACTGCAGCCAGGGAAGCGCAGATGCCCGCTGATGGGTACCTGGAGTAGCAGAGGCAGCAAGCTGCTCTCCGATGGTGGACGCTGCCCAGGAAGTGCTCAGGAAGGGGCTTGTGGAACCCTGCTGTGTTCCAGGCCCAGAGTCACATCCTGTGCACCTGAGTCACACACAGCTTCGTCCCTGGGTGGAAGGGATGAAGAGCACCTGTCAGTATCAACCTACACAGAGACACAAGGCCAGGATGCTGCCACTAAAAGGCATGGGCATTTGGGGACACAGGTGGCCATGGCATTGCTCCCTACAACACACATCCTTTGAATGGCCACAAATGAGCCTGAGCAATACCTAGCTTGGTTTAACAGATGAGAATAATTTCATTATAGAAATATGAAGGCACACGAGTGTCCAATAAAAAGTGCAATCGCCCCTCACCTTCTGTCTGCAGCTCTTCCAGAGAGAAACACTGGTAACAGCTCCATGTGTGCTCTTCTGGGGTTTGTGTGCATCTAAAAAAGACTTGTATGTGTACATCTGTCTTTTTTCTAATCCATTCATTTTTTATTTGTATTTGATACAGCAGATTGAATCCAAAGCCTTTGCACTTAGTTCCATCCCCAATCCTTTGTGGGTTTTCTGTTTTGAGACAGGATCATGCTAAGTTCTTCAGTTGGGACTCACACTGGTGTGTCTTCTGCCTCAGGGTCCCAGAGTGCTGACACTACAGGCATGGGCCACTGCGCCTGGCAACAGAGGCTGCCTCTAACAGGAAAGGGCCCCTGATCCTCCACTGCAACTTAGATCACATTTTCATCAGTACACAGATCTAGGCCCTGATTCTGACCTGCTAAATGCAGCTCCACAGCATGAATGTAATGGGGGTGCTTCCTCTGTCCCTAAGCTCCGTTCTTATGTTACTGTACTGTACATCCTTGGATGGTCTTGCACCCCGAGTACTTGTGCTATAGAGATCCGGCAGCTTCCCTGGCTTGTGGAGTTCACAGAGGAGAATGTTAAGCAGCTGGGGAAGGTGTTTATCATGCTGCACATGTGATAGACCCCGGTTCTGTCCCCAGCACTAGAAAAACATGTTTCATGAATACTGTTTGGCAGGCTCTAAAAGCAGGTTCCATTGTCTGCCAGGTGCAGAGGCCCTCACCTGTAATCCCAGCACCCCAGGAGGCTGAGGCAGAGCATCAGAAATAGGAGCCCAGCCTGGGGTAACTTAGTGCCTTAGCAACACCCTGTCTCAACACACAGAATTTAAAAAGACTGGTGATGAAGCTTACTGAATAAAGCTCTAGGTTCAACATACAGTACCACATTTAAACAAGAAAAAGCAGAGTACCTCCCACAGCAAGGATCTGTGCCCCAAAAACAGCAGTTTTATTTGAGAAACAAATGAAATCTAAAAGACCACACCCAGCCATATGGGACTCCCTGTCACCTTTAGTGGTTCACATGGCCCCTGACCTGAAGACCAAAGAGGACTGCTGACGAAGACCCCTCTTCACAGGAAGAGCCAGCTGCTCAGGGCAAAGCTGTGACATCTTCTCCCACACACACTCAGGGTCCTAGGCAGCAGCTCCTGTGTGAGCTGCACCCCGCACTGTGACTCCCCCAGGCACCGGGTCAGCAAACCCGGTGGCTCAGTGGCTCTGCCCCAGGCTAACCTCCTATTTCCTGTGTGTGTCTGCAGGCGATCGCAAGCAACTGATCAAAGAACACTCTGGCACTGGCAGACAGGGGGAGGTGACAGGAGAAAAATAATAATAAAGTGACAATTCAGTGAATCCCTCCATGGTCATAGACATACAACAAATGTCCATCCCAAACTCCAGGTCCTGAGAACAGGAAAGGGGCCCCAAGAAAGGCCGCTCTGTGCAAGGCCAGCAGGTCAGGCGGCACTCTGGGTGCAGAGTGTACCTCAACGAGGACGGTGCTCAGTAGATGTGGTGTTGGACTGGGGACCTGGATCTGGCCAGTGGTCTGCACTGGGCATGGTGAACCACAGGGCAAGACAATCACCCGTCCTGGGCTCGTGGGCTCCTCCTATCACTACCAGGGATGGACAAAATGGGTTTTTAAGGTTGTTTATATTATTTTATCTGGTGGTTCTCAGGCCTGAACCCAGAGTCTCACACATGCTAGAAAGTGGTCTGCCCCTGAGCTACACTCAAGACTGATGAAAAACCTTTAAAGACAAGGGTCCAACTGCAATCCAAACCTGCTTATGTATCACAAAGTGCCAACACTGCCCTTAAACCTGAAGACTGAAGTTTAAAGTTAGGAAAATACAACTCAAATATCAACATTTTTTTGATCTTAAGAGCAAAACAAAACAAATACCAGAGGTTCACCAAACCCGCCTCAGCCATTTTAAAAATTATTTTTATTTGGTGACACCTGACTCCGGGCAAATGTTTTGAAAACAGCAGAGTCTACCTTATGAGGGATAACAGTAAGAGCCAAATGAGGAGGGACAGAGGTAAAAGGGCATCCTCACTCACCTGAGACTTACTGTTTAAGGTTCAGTAACTCAATAAAACAATGTTAGCCATTCGTGACACCTCAGAATTCCTGGCCTCCGCCTTTTAGACTCTCCTAGCCAAAACTGGTTAACCTGAGAGATGGTTTGCACGTGGCCCCAGATCCCTGCAGAGCCTCGCTTCTCCAGTAGGGGCAGTTCTGTCCCCCAGGGTACAAGTGGCAACATCTGAAGATGGCTGTGGTCAGCCCAGCTCAGGGAAGGCGGCTACTGCTACTGGTGGCTGAAGGCCAGGAGTGCACAAAGCATCCTCTGATGCTAGGGAGACCACAAGACTGGCTTCAGAGAGCAGAAACCTCGATAACAGAACATAAATGCATCCAGGCAAAGACTCAGCGGGTGGCACCTTCACAGCCTTCACCCACCACTCGGCCTCCCCAGGGAGATTCTGCATGAATCGCTGTGCCAGGGGGCTGACAGCAAGTGCAAAGGGCATGGGGTAGCCAGCTTCTGGTCCACTCTGGGTTGCAACTACTCCCACAGCCGTCTGTCTTCACTCGGGTCTCTGAATTCATAGACTGGATCGATGAGGTAAGAACAAGACCTCCCTGAGCCCTGTCCTTCAACCCCACAAGGGCCTGACTCTCTGGGAATCCAGCATCCCCCTTCCTATAGCAAGCACAGGATGCTGCTCACCTGAGCAACCCGGGGAACCACCCACCCAATACTCCCTAAGGATTTGTATTTTGTCTTTCTCTCTTCCTTTCTTTTCTTACTTTTTTTTGGAGGGAGGGGTGTTTGTATGTGGGTGTTCATGTATGTGTATGTACATGGGCATGTGTGTGTGTGGCTGTGTCTGTGTCTCTGTGTTACTGGAGAGTGAACCCACAGCCTTCTCACTGAGCTACATATATAGCCCTTTATTATTCTGAGACAGGGTCTTGCTAAGTTCACCATGCTGGCCTCCCACCCAAACCCCCCAAATCAAGAAAGACAGAGACCAGCTGTAGGGATTTTGTTGTTGCTTGATTTGTTTTCTCTTCCATTTCCACTAGGCAAAAAAAGACTCAAGGTTGGCAGAGGGAAATCTGAGGTCAGCTTTGCTGTGCCACCAGCATCTCTGAACAACCTCCATGATGGCACAGAAAGGTGCTTAGGGCTTCTTTCCAGCCAATCCTGAGACAGTTTTCCAGCCCCAGCTGCTGCATGAGTCCCTGTGATTGGGGCAGCTACCGCGTTCAGGACAAAGAAGGGGCCAGTAAAGTTGTCCTGATTTCTTGTCCCAGTCTCAACCTGTTCCCATTCACAGACACAGGTGTGATGGAGCAGGCCAGATGGCAAGGGCACCAACAGGAAGAGCAAACCTTGCTTGGTAGCTGGGCAGGGGACCTGTGTTCATGAGACTGCAGCCAGGGCAGCACAGATGCCCCATAGTTGATTGCAGGAGTCACAGAGCCAGAAAGCATCTGTCCTCTGGTAGTGGCTGCCTGGGCAGCTGCAAAGGGACTTTTGGAACCTTGCAGTGACCCAGGCCCAGAGTCCCATTGTGTGCACCTGAGTCACACACAGCTGTGATGCTGGGTGGGAGGGGTCAGAAGCATCTGCCTGCATAATCCTAGACAGGTACACAAGGCCACAATGCTGCCACTAAAAGGCATGGCAAGGGGCACACAGGTGGCCAAGGCTTTGCTCTCTACAATAGACATCCACTGAATTTCTACATGTGAGCCTGAGGCAGTGCCTAGCTTGTTTTAATAGATGGTAAAATACTCATTATAGAAATATCAAGGCACACAAGTGTGTCCAGTAAAAAAGTGCCCCTCACCTTCTAGATAGAAGCTTCTCCAGAGGGAAACACTGGTAACAACTCCATGTGTGCTCTTCTGGGGTTTGTGTGCATCTAAAAAAGACTTGTTCGTGCATAGACACATGCACATTTTTCTTTTTTGTTATCCATTCATTTTTTACTTATATTTGATACAGCAGATTGAACCCACGGCCTTTGCCCTTAGTTCCATCCCCAACCCTTTGTGGATTTTCTATTCTGAGACAGGATCATGCTAATTTCCCTGGTTGGGACTCACGATTGTGTGTCTTCTGCCTCAGGCTCCCAGAGTGCTAGCACTATAGGCATGGGCCACTGCGTCTGACAACAGAGGCTATCTCTAACAAGAAAGGGCCCCTGATCCTCCACTGCAACTTAGATCACATTTTCATCAGTACACAGATCTAGGCCCCACTTCTGACCTGCTAAATGCAGCTCCACAGCATGAATGTAATGGGGGTGCTTCCTCTGTCCCTAAGCTCCATCCTTATGTTACTGTACTATATACATCCTTGGTTGGTCTTGCAACCCCGAGTACTTGTGCTATGGAGATCCGGCAGCTTCCCTGGCTTGTAGAGTTTGCAGAGCAAAATGCTAAGGGCCTGGGGAAGGAGCTCAACATGGTACACATGGGATAGGCCCTGGTTCTGTCCCCAGCACCAGAAAAACATGTTTCATGGATACTGTTTGGCAGGTTCCATTGTCTGCCAGGTGCAGAGGCCCTCACCTATAATCCCAGCACCCCAGGAGGCTGAGGCCAGAAATAGGAACCCAGCCTGTGGTAACTTAGTGGCTTAGCAAGACCCTCTCTCAACACACAGAATTTAAAAAGACTGGTGAAGAAGCTCAGTGCAACAACTCTGGGTTCGATACACAGTACCACTTTTAAAAAAGAAAGCAGGTTACACCTCTCATAGCAAGGATGTGCCCCAAAACAGCAGTTTTGAGAAACAAAACCTAAGCCAAGCTGCCCATACTGATCTCCCTGTCATTTTTAGAAGTTCTCAGGGACCCTGACCTGAAAGCCAAAGCAGGTGAAGACCCCTCTTCACAGGAAGAGCCAGCTGTTCAGGGGAAAGCTGAGACCCATCTTCCCCTACACATGCACAGAGCCCTAAGGCAGGAGCTCCTGCAGGAGGCCCCGTGACTCCCACAGGTACCCAGTGAGCAAAGTGCCAGGGCAACTCTGCTCTGGGGTAAACTCCTGTTTCCTGCGTGTCCACAGGTGATCGCAAACAACTGACCAAAGGAGTCTCCGGGACTGTTAGACATGGAAAGGTGACAGCAAGACAATAATAAAATGACAACTGCCTGAATCACACCATGGTCCTAGTCTTATTAGCAAACGTCCTTCCCAATCTCCAGGTCCTGAGGACAGGAAAGTGGCCTCAGGGGCGGGTGATCTGGGCTCCTGAGTCCCTCAGCAAGGCCGGCACATGGGAGACGTGGGTCAGGACAGGGGACCTGCATCCAGCCAGCTGTCTCCACTGGTTACCGCACTCCACTGGGCAAGAATGTCACCCTCTCTGAGCTTACAGCCTCCACCTCAGTCACTAGTGTGATCACGTGGGGAACAAGTGAAATTGGGCTTGGGGAAATGGGTTATTTTGTGGCTTTGTTTTGTTTGGTGTGTCTGCACACTGAACCCGCAACCTCACACATAATAGCAATGTTCTACCATTGAGCTACACTCAAGACCAACGACAAAGCTTTTAGAGATGAGGGTCCAACTGCAACACAAGGCCCACTTATTTATCACAAAGTGCCTACACTGCTCTAAACCTCAATACCAAAATTTGAGTTTAGAAAAACAATTTATATATAAACATTTTTTGTCTTAAAGGAAAACAAGGCACATGCAATAGATACGCCACCACTGACATCACCATTTAAAAATTCATTTTTTATTCTTTTGATATACCTGACTCTAGGAAAATGTTTTGAAGATGATAAAATTGTACTTTATGAAGGAAGACAAAGAGTTGAAGGAAAATGAGAAGGAACAGAGGAAACAAAAGAAAAAACCCACATTCACCTAAGATTTATTTTTTAAGACTAAATAACGTGATAAAAGAATGTTAACCATTCCTGACACTTCAGAATGACGGACCCCAGCTGTTTAGACTCTAGTAGCTGAAATTGTTTGACCTGAGAGACACTGGTTTGTCTGTAGCCCCAACTCCCTGCAGAGCCTCCCTTCTCCACTGGGGACTCTTTTGTACCCCAGAGTACAGGTGGTGACCTTTGAAGATGGCGGTGGTCAGCATAGCTCAAGGAGGCCTGCTGCAGGTATTGCGGTTGGAGCCTAGTGACAGCACAAAGCCTCCTCCGATACCTCGGTGACCCTGAACCAAGGGCACCTGGCCCACAGGGCCACAGTATGGAGGATGGGGAGCACTGCTCCACAGAAGATGGGGTGATGGGCCAGGCAGCAGCCCAAGGCCAGCTCTGAGGTGGAGTCTGCATGGTGTCCACAGCTTTCTGGTCTTCTCCCTCTGCTCCTGGACACTGCTCTCTGCTGTGGAAGCTGCTGAGACCAGTGAGGGATGGAAACTGCCCAGCTCTGAAGCCTTGAGTTGCAGGATGGGGTGGCAGCATCCAGGTCTGCTGCAGCACGCTGTACATGAAGGATGAGGTGTCCTCATTTGGTTTTAAAGAAAAGTTTTTTCCGGAGGAAATTGAAACAACCAGGAATCTGTTTATAAATCCCTTTCTCGGATACGGCATTAGCCACCTGCAAAACCCAACCACATCAAGATTGTGAGTTCAGTGCTCTCAAGGGAATCCAGAGGTGGCAAGGTCTAGGGTGTCTGCTAACTGGACGCAGGGTGGAGAACAGATCTACCTGCAGCCTCCTTGAGGTGTCTACAAGGCAAGAACCTGGCCTGCAGGGCAAAAGAACTCAAAAATTGCCCACTGGGGTAGCACCGCCTGTAATTCCGCCACTCAGAAGGCTGAGTGAGGAAGATCACCTTGGATTTGAAGCCAGCCTGGGCTACATAATGAGACCTATGTCTTAAAAAGCCAAAACAGTAAAAGAACACAAAAATGAAAATGTCAAACCTTCAAAGTTCACAAAGTTCCACCCAGCCTGAAAGGTCTGCATGAAGAAAGGTCACGGGAAGAGACCAGGCTCCAGACCAGGAGCCAAGTGCAAGGGTTGGCCTCGGGTATCCTCCACCCGTGCGCTGCAGGGTCCCAATGTCTTTAACGGTCACAGGTCCAGGGCTGTGGCAGCCAAGTCCCCTGCAGAGCCTGTCTCCTGTCCCAGGATCTGTGAGCAGTGCTCACCCCAGAAAGTCTCTCTCTCTCCGCAGCCTCAGTCCTCACAGCCCTGTTCCTGTGCAAAAAACAGGGCACACCTGGAGCCCAAAGCAGCCCGGGATTCTGATTGGCTGCTCACAGAGTGGGGCGGGGCCTCTCCCAGGAAGTAGGAGAATGCACTAAAGGAATCAGAATGCTCTGGGGTCAAAAGCAAAAGAAGGCACGGCCATGGGGCAGGGTACGGCCAGTCTTCAGGGGCACCATGCTCTGGCCAAAGAGCAGTCCCACCCTGGGCTGAGGACAGCCAAGAGGGGTCTATCTGGGGGCCTCCTACAAGGCAGGGCAACTGTCACCACAGACAGTTATGTCCCACATTGAGAAGCCAAAGCATCCACCAAGCCAGGTGTGGTGCCTCATTCCTGTAATCCCAGCACTCTGGGAGGCTGAGGCAGGGGGATCACAAGTTTCAGCCCAGCCTGGGCGACTGAGTGACTTCACCAGACCTCCCCAAAATAAAAAGTCTTGGAATATAATTTAGCGTAGAGATGGGTTCAGTCTCTGGTTTCCCAACTCTCACAGCCCTAAGTAAGACTCAGCAGCAGACAGGACCTGCCACCATGATGCCTTAGATGTCACTCCCTGACTATCCTGCAGAAGCCACACTGGACCCAATAGCCCCACCACCACCCCAGGGAGGAAGGCACCTGTCACCCTGAGCAGCAGGTATTGCAAATCTTCAGAGGAAGCCCAGTGCTCCAAGATGCTGTCCAGGGTCTCAATGTACCAAGAGCCACGTTCAGTGTCCCTCCAGAAGACAAAACCTTTGGGAGGAAGGAACCCCAAACCGCTTAGAAGCCGCCCCAAGCCAGACACAAGTGCCCCGGCCCCTCTGACTGTGACTCATTCAAGAAGTGGCCCTGGGTTCGATCCCCAAACACCACACACACAGGAACAGTCCACGTCCCCGCAGCTCTGTGCCTTCATTCATGCTTCCAACCAACCCCTGACTCTGGCTGTCATTCCTGTCTTCCTTGCAAGGCCACCCAGCCTTCCAAACTCACCTGGGAAGGTAGAATAGGACACAAGGATGTCACTGGGTGTGGGCAAACTCGACACTGCATCGGCTGGTCTAAGGGCTCCAGGCCTCCCTGGAATGGGACAGCATCTGCCTCAGGGCTGCTGCCAGGGCCCTCGTCATCGGGGGACATGCAGGCCACCTCAAACCCATGGTCCTTCTGCTCTGCAGGAAGCAAAACCAATACCATGCATCACTGAAATACATCAGTGATTCCCTGACAAAAAAAGCCCTTCTCAAGCTTCTAAAACCTCAGCAGAAGTAGTTCTTCCATTTTTAGACTCCCAATAATGTGAACCAAATCAACCTCTTTTCTTTATAAAACAACCAGCCTCATATATTTCATTATAGCAACAGAAAACTGATGAATACATGGGGGGTGCTTACAGAAGGTGGGAAGTGGTGAGGATAAGCAGAGGGGCTATCTGTGAAAACCAAACAAATAACAGAATCAGAGAGGGGTGTGGGAAGTGGGTGATAAGTCAGACAGGGATACCAGTTGCAGCTTCACTCACATCCACTCTGCACATCTGACATGAAAGCCTAGCCTGGGGGAGTCACATGCTTTACGTGTGGCTTGGTCCTTACAGAGCCTCATTACTTCTAAGCTCCCTTCCAGGCCAAATGAATTCTGCCATAAGAATAACTGCCAGTGGGCAGACGTGTGTTCCCTCAGCAGGTAAATGCACAAGCCCTGCAGCACTGTGAGGTGTTTTTCTGCCTTCCTGGCATGATCTCTTAAACTCTGTCACCCCGATCTGACAACCTGGCCCAATGCAGGCAGCTACCTGGCTTGGCCTAGTGGTCACACTGCCAGCACCGCCCAAGTCAATGACTTAGAGGCTTATATCCCAGACCTGTCCTGCCTTCTCTCTTAGTGAAGAGGGAATTGTCACTACTGGAGGATTTTACCAAGTCTTTATCCAGGTGACAGGGTACACCTGTAATCCCAACTATACAGGAGGCTGAAACAGGAGGCTCTCTAGGCTCTTTCTCAGTAGCAGATGCTGAGTCACAAGTCTGGGTAGAAGATTCCTCATTTCTAGCAGCAAATATAGCCATGTCCATGGGGCTGATCCCGACTATGTGCAGGAGAAAGGACCCAAACCAGAGTCACTGCACAGAAGCCCCAGGGTCCAAGACCAAGCCCTGAGCCAGAAGCTGTGCATCTTCTCCGAAGGATTCTTTTAAATGAGCCTGAAATCCATGAGAATTCCACATCTGTCTTCCCTGTCCCACTGAGACCTCAGCGACATGGCCAGGTGAGAATGTGACCACCTGCCAATCTGTCACACAACACAGCAATAGGGACCTTTCTACAGAGAAGGACGTGGCTGTAATGGCTACTTTATCCCCACCTCCTCAGGCTCCACTTCCTCTCCTCTCAGTTCAGAAGCCTGGACTTTTGTCCAGGGACAGTTCAACATCAACCCCGGGATACTGGTCTAGACCAAGCCTAGATGCCCAGGCCGAAGGCTGGGAAATGTGCTCAAGCGCTGTCTAATCCATGCACTTCACACACACACCTCCACAGCAATTGTTCACGTGAACAGAGGCAGGTCCAATCAAAGAGCTCCTACAACCTGTGGGAAAAGCTACTACAAGGCTTCCGCTCCCACAGGAGGGGGTGTGGCTACCTCGGGAAAGGGAAAGAAAGAGGGAGAGGGTGATTTTGTCCCCCAAGCTACATGTGGTGATGTGTGACGCAGTTTTGGTTGTCAAAAACAGGGAAGAGAGAGGCGACTGATACCAACTGGTGTGCTCCACACTACAGTCCCCATAGCAAAGAATCGTCCAGCCCAAAATGCAGCTTTGCTGCAGCGGAGACACCCTGGGCCACAGATCCTACAAGGATCTTGTCCCCAAGAAAGGGAAAGCCTGCAGCTGCCTCAGGCCACTTTGTGGAGCCTGAAGGTGCACCTCACCACAGAAGGCAGAGCCTCAGGCAGAGAGAAACTCATTCCTGAAAAGTCATCGGAGCCTTATATCCAGCTGTGCCTGAAGCCAGTTTGCTCCAGGACTGTTCCATTCAGGACCCAACAAATGACTTCCTAGGAGAAGTTTTATGGGCCTTTCCAACCTCACAGCACACTGTGACACAAGCCCTGTGTTCCTTCTCTTATTTGTAGATGGGCGACCCTCAGCCTGTGTGTGATATGCCCGTGTGTCCAGGCTACACAGGTTCATAGCTCAGAGTCACATGTCCCTGGTGACCAAAGCAAAGAAGAACACATATTCTGGTAAAATGGAGAAGGGGATTTACCCAATGCTAGCTCCAAGGAGATGGAGGGGGCCATTTGCCTGAAATCACCAAGTCCCCCTGTGCACATGGGCAAGGAACTGTCCAATAAAGAACAGACTAGAGCAGGGCAAGGCGAGACCACACAGATTTCCACACTTACTTTAGCACGTCCAGCTGATCCTCTTTGCCCTTTTGGAAAAGAAACTAGACTCCCAGGCCCTGGGATGGTGGCACCTGCATATTTTGTCAATTGTTCTGGCTGAAAAGAAAGTATTGGGTACATGCCCAGTAAGAGGAAGTTTGGAGAAGTCCTTATCCCTAGGGAAAAAAAAAATCTGATGTTTAAAATTCCATTATGCAGTGCCGCTTATGCAAGATCACACAGCCAGTGAAACACGCACGTGCTAAGCTGGTGTTTGTGCAGTGGCCTCATGTGGGAAATGTTATATTTTTCTGCCAAAACAGTCACAGACACGTGGAGCAGAACACCACACGCACATTAGCCTTTAGGACAAAACATAAGACTTCAGAAATGATCACTGGAGTGATGGCTGCAACTACAGAAAAGGGTCCAAATTGCCACCGGAAGTTAGGGACACGGCAGGGGAGAGAACCTAACTCTAACCCACAGGGATTCTGCACCCCAATCTCCCTCACTTTTGCATGGTCCCTGGACCACTGCACTGTTCTTTTACCCCCATGTTTTCAACCGTACAACAATCCTGCTGTCCAGGCCAGGGTCTGTCCTAAGAAACAGCCCCAGAAGACAAGGACTGGTCCAAACAGTCATGATGTAGTCAGAGACCACTATAGGGACAGAGGACCGATTCCTGGGCCTTTAACCTGCTGCTTATTTGAAAGGATGATTTTGCTTTGGTTTGGTTTGGTTTGGTTTGGTTTGGTTTGTTTTTTGAGATGCAGTCTCACCATGTGATAGTTTGGAATAGCCCTGAACTCACTATGTAGTCCAAGGTAGCCTCAAACTCATGGCAATCCTTCTGCCTCAGCCTCCTGAGTCTTGGATTACAGACCTTCACCACCACCACAAGTCTAAAGCACGATACTGAGGTAATCACAGACTTACAAGTGGATTTAAAAGTGGGATTAGGGCAGTCTTTGTTAAAACCTGTGACTCTTGCTCTGGCCAGCAAGATTCTAAGAACAGAACAAAGCTTGCCCTTTGCTTTGTGAGACTCTAGGTCAAGCCCTTCTTGCCTCCGCACATAGGCACAGTGCTCCTCTGGAGACTGTCTTCTAAAAGAGGGTGAAACAAGGGTTATGAGCTCCAAATTTGCCTACATCAGCTCAGCACCCTTCAACCTGAGGACACACCCCTCCCTGGCATTCCTTGTCCCACTTCCCTGCGCCAAATCCCAAGCCTGTGGGTAATGGAGCCCCTCCTCTGGGTAAGCATGGGCCTCACGTCTTGCAAACTTCCCTAGAATGTTACAAAACAAACTGAACTGTTTGTTCACTGTGAAGCACCTCTAAAATCTGTGCTTCACAAATAGGCAGCCTGAGTCCTGCCTAACTCCTCCATGGCCACCCAGCAAGCCACGCCACGGCTCAGAAGAGGTTTCTTGATCTCAGCACCATTGACCATTTAAGTGAGATGATTCCAGTCATCCTGTGCATTGTCAGCCCTCTGCCACCTCCCTGCATTCTATCTGCTAGAGACCAATATTCCCCACTGTCAGCCCCAAGCACCATCAATGTCACTGGACGGTGTCAAATGTCCCCTGCTTGCTACACCAACCCCACTGAGAATGACTGCCTTGACACTGTGTGCTCAAAACACCAGCTTAATTTTGCTTTGGAAACTGCAACCCCCTTTGACCAACAATCAGGCATTTTCTTCCTCCACTATCACATAACATAATCTCTTGAAAGCAGAAACAACCCACAGTTCCTCTGGCACAGTAATAATCCCAGCATTCTGGAAGGCTGAGGCAGAAGGATCACAAATTCAAGCTCAATCTAGGCAATTTAGTGCGACTCTGTGTAAAAATTTTAAAAAGGCTGGGGAGACCCTCCCTGTGAGTCAGCCACTGCCAGAGTGGGGACAGCCACACCCAAGTCTTTCCCCATGAGTCAGTGCCATTTGCAGACTGCATGGGAAGAGAACAAGGCCTCACCAAGAGAAGAGCCCTCCCTGCAAACCAGCACCATGCACAGGCCACTGCTGGAATGGGGACAGCCAGACCCAAGCCCCTTCCAGTGCATGTGCTGGCAAACAAGAAGATCCAACACTTCTTCCTCTCTTCCCATAAGTGACCAGCTGATCAGGAGAAACACAGGCTGTAATGATAGTTACTGAGGTGAAATGCAATCTATACTTGAATTGTTTGGTGTTTCACTGACCTTGCAGGTCTAGGGTTTGATCATCTATTCAGAGGACAGCAGTACACAGTGTGGCATCTGGGGGGAATCTCCTTCTGAAAGCAGTAGCCATCGTTAATTCCGTATGAGCTTGCTTTGAAGTCCTATGTCATTTTCATTGTTTTGTTGGGTTAGGGTTTGTTCTTTTTGGTTTAGTTTGACTTGGTTATATCCGATGGCAAAGGCAGCTATTTCAAAGATAGCAAGATATATTATGGTAGCAATTTTGAATTTACTACTGTCTTATTTTGAGGTCCTTTATTGCATTCATTGTTTTGTTTTTGTTGTTTCTATTTTATTCTGTTCTGTTTGATGTTCACTATGTCTGAGTTATTTTGAGAACAGCAAGAGGCATTATGGTAACCATTGTTGATTTCATATTGTTTTGAAGTCCTGCATCACTTACACTGCTTTCTTTTGATTGGTTTTATTGTTTTACTTTCCTTGGTTTTATCCTCTTTAAAAGAAAAATTAACAAAATAGAGCTGGGGATGTACCTCAGCAGTAGAGTGCTTACCTAGCATGGGCAAGGCCCTGAATTAACTCACAGCACCAGAAAAAATAAAAAAAAAGAGAGAAACAAAGAACCAAAGAAGAAAGAAAGAGAGAAGAAAAACCATATTTCCATATCTACTTTTAGCATAATTATCAGTGAATTTCCTGCGTAACATGTGGGAGAGAAATGGACAAAAATATTTGGACAGCGGTCCTTTATCCCATTGACCTTTGAGAAAATCCCCATCTTGTGCACACCTAGAATATCTTCTGCTGATTAATGTGGCTATAAAACAGAGCCTCGGCCTGGGCCAGGCTCACAGATGTCTCACGGACACACCATGATCAGGACACTACTGCTGGCAGCCTTGGTGGCTGGAGGTAAGCCCTGTCACCCTTGGGCACTGATCCCTCACCCCTGCGAGGGCTGGGAATGGGACCTCTGCATTCCTGTCCCCTTCTCCTACTCCCTTAAATTCAGTGCTATAATTATAAGAAAACTGGAATGGGTTAAGGGCAGGACTCTGCAACCTCTGGGAATCTTTCCAGGACAGGGTTTCCTGATGGGATGGGACATGGGGTTGGAGGCTCTCTCCGCTGCCTGGATCACCGCTCCCAGCACTTACCACCCCTTCTCTCTTCACAGTTCTCAGCCATGAGATCTCCACTTACGAGCTCAATCAGGGTAGGGTAGTTGGAGGACAGGAAGCGCAGGCCAACAGCTGGCCCTGGCAGGTGAGCCAACCACACTGTCCTTGCTCACTCCCTACCCTACTGCTTTCTCCTCACCCCGTTTGCCCTCCACCTTGGGATCTGTTGTGCTCACAAAGAAGAGGATGGGTGGAAACTTGAAGCATAGAAAAGCTATTTCTGTGCCTTTGAACAACCAGGGCCCTGGGGAAAAGTGGCTCCCTCCAATTTAATTCAAGAAGAAGCTGATCCACACTACTACCCAGATGCACACTGAGACATTCACAATCATTCTTACTCTGCTGCTAGCCAATCACATGCTAGCTAGCTAATGTACCATTATTTTATGAACCATTCATCACCATTTATGTAAATATTCCCTGTTTTAAGCAACCAATCAACGCAGTTTATGCAGATTAACCCTGAACCATAAGTCAATATTATCAATGAATGTAAATGCTTCTCACATTATTATAACCATCAGAATACCATGACTAAAATATTGATGAGGCACAGGCACAAATGGGTACAGTGTTACTGATTAAACTTTCCAAAAAAATGTATGGGGCTGGGGATATAAGTCAGCAGCATAGTGCCTGCCTGGCAAATGCAGGGTCCTGAGTTCAATTTCTAGTACCAAAACATGTGAAATTTACACTTCACATAAATGTAGTAAAAAAAAAATTCTCTCATCTGGCATAATTGAGACTAAGTAATTGAAAAATTGAGTGTAGAGAAATTATCTTAAATCCTGTATAGGTTTTAAATACTTTGCTTTAGTTTAGAACATGTAGGTATATGTGGATTCACTGATCCTTGGAACTGCTCTGTAACCCAGGCTGGTCTTGAACACATAGCAATCTGCCTGCCTTAGCCTCTCGAGCCCTGGATTTATAGGCATGCACCTCCACACTCAGTTCAATCTTTTGAATCTTTAAGGGCCTTTCTCCTAAACTAAGTTACCTGCAAGTCCATTTCTTTAAAGGACCAAGGACTCTGAGACACTCACGCAGCAATCTGAGTAATTTTGTCATTTCCCCCTCAATCCTCCCACTCTCTCATGGGCACCAGTGTCAGAAGCAAAGCCAGGCTTTGGCTTTTCTCGCAGCTCACAGAGTTTCCTCTGGGCTGCAGAAGGGCCTCACCCCTCTGCTACTGATCCCATCGTGGGGATCTTGTGCTGAGAACCAATCGCTGTGGCCTCTGCCACCTGCTTGACCAACCTTAGCCTCACCTTTGGAGCCAACTGTCCCTGACTGTACAATGCCCTCCTCACCTTGGGACCAGTGACTGTCGTCTTGGGGGACTCTCCAGACTTCCAGCCCTGACCCCTAGGGAGACATCTTTTTCAGGTGGGTGAGTCCAACCTCCTTAGAATCTTTTCTCCAAGAAATGCTATTTGTATGGCCTGGAAAATGAAATTAACATTTTCCATAAGAAATATTAGAAATATTGACTAGGCTGGGTATAATGCCCCATGCTACACTCAGCACACTGGGAGGCTGAGGCAGTGAAATCAGAAGAGCCTTAGAAATTAAGTGACTCAGTAAAACCCTGTCTCAAAGTTTAAAAAAATCTTTGGAAGGTAACTTAGTAGTAAGGCCCTGGGTCCAATCTCCAGTATCACAATATGTAAGGCGTTAGGGCGATAGGGATGTAGGCAGGTAGGGAGCTAGAGCTAGATGACAGATGACAGAGGACAGTTTAAGATGTGGACCACATGGTGGAGACACACAGCTGCCTTAGTTTGCACATTTATTAAACACACATAATGATGGTGCCCCACAGGATTGCTGTGTTTAGGAGGTGAGTTCAGGACAGTGTCCAGCAATCGTCAGACATTAGAAATTTAACCTAGACATGGCGGTGTCCACCTGTAATCCAGCACTTGGGAGGCTGAGGCAGGGAAACTGTGAGTTCAAGGCCAGCCTGGGCTACACAGTGAGATCTTGGTTCAAACAAAATTAGAAATGTGAAACGCTGGTTACTGCGGTTGTTACTCATCCTGAGCTCTCTGCGCAGTGGACCGTAGGGTCCACTGTCCAGACAAGTAAATGGGACTCAGGATAATAGACTGTCTGCCTGAGCCACCCCCTGAGCCAGGAGGAGAGGGAGGATTTGAATCTGGTTCATCTCCTTGCTCTTTAGCCACACTTTTTCCTTCATGATATACATTACGTGGACAAAATTTCACATCTGTAGGGCACTGGAGGCCTACTTTTAGGTTAGAGGGTTATCTGTCTTTATGGGTCTCTTTCTCATTTTGTCTAACTGTAGACGTATTTTGGGGGGGGGATTGGGGATGGAACTCTGGGCCTCACCCATGCTAGGTGGGTGCTCTACCCTGAGCTACATCCCCAGCCCAACATCTTAAAATCCAACTTATCTAAGGCATAGCCCTCTTAATTGTGAATGAAAGAAAAATGTCCAGTATTTAATTAAAAATGAGGAAGTTCAGACAAAAGCAAGCATCTGCTCATGAAGAGCCAACATCTTCACAATTAAAGGGAACACAGTCTGACTGCAAGCAGCCCAAGCAGCCTCTGTCCTCTGCTTAGCCGTGACAGGGACATGAGCGGCGGGGGTGGGGGTGGGGGATTAAAGAAGGAGAAGGGTAGGTGGCAGCTTTCTTAGACACCAAAGCAGTAACAGATGCTCCTGCCTTGTGGTTCCAGCTCCTACCTACCTACCAGACGTAAATACAAACCCACACACACACGCTGGAGACCATATGGGTTAAGGTTCACTAATGCTTTCTCCTATGGCTGTGAATAGATTCTTCAGAAAGAAATTATAGCAGCTTACAAAATCTACAGGAGCAACCAGGCCTTTCCCCATTCATTCATTCTTCACTCCTATGCTCCATCAGTAAGTCCAGTCACACCTCCGTGTTGGTACAGATTGGTTCCAGGACCCTGAAGGGAACCAATTCCATAGATGCGCAGATGCCCTGCATGCAGTGTCAGTGTGTGGATGTAACATGCATGCACCATCCGGTGTATCTTAGGTCATGTTTCAATGGTTTACACCACTAATAGGAAGTCAGTGCTATGTAAATTGTTGTCTAAAAGGTACAGGCTCAACAGGACAGATTTATTTCAGAACAAATCTGAGACAGAGCACTCTGGCACTAGGGACCAAACCAGCAGCTCTTATACAGACTGTGAGTCTTTTGTAGGGATATGGGGGGAGGTCATTGACAGGGGATGGGGGCTACTTGATTCAGAGAGCACACAGGTCAGGACTGTACAAGGATGAGGCTAGGAGAAGCACAGAGAGTGGTGGCTCCTCTCCATAGCAAGGCTGGTAGTGTCCTGAGTCCCCAGGAGCAACTGTGCTAGGAGGGGACAGCTAGAAGGGTCTCTGGCCAGGATGACAGTGGTCAGATTCCTTCACTCCAGACTCCAGGGTTAAAGTAAGGAAAATGGGCAACACCTCTTCCTTAACAACGTCCCGTTGATGAGGGGTGGGATTGTTAAGGTTTCAGCTGTACTGATGTTGTCTTTGGCTGCTGCCTATGAAATGACCAATATCCTGCTGGAGAGAAATCTCTGAAGCAGACTGAGTGGGCATGGCAGTAATAGAGGGGCGAGCAGAAAGAGGAGGACAGGGAAAGGACAGATTGGACGGTGGACTCCCATGAGTCTCACGAACTGTGCAGAGGGTCCCCGACTTCTGTAGTACTGTCTCGATCTTGGTGTCTATTTTCTGCAGAGCTGAGTTACACTGCCGTGATAATCTGTCAGAAAAGTACAACGCGCTCTATGAAGCATAGCACAGGTGCCGCCTTGGACAGGCTTTGGTGGGGCCTCTCAGTCTCAGACAGCTCCTCATGGTTCCATCTGCATGGTCAGTCTGGAAGTTTGTCAGACTCTGTGCTACACTAAAGACACCAACAAGAGATTAAAGCTGGCGTGCCCCAAGCCTGAGCATCAGAAAGCAAAGCCCACTTGGGGAGGAGCAGTACGCTGACACTGGTCTTAAGGGCTTGGAATACCAGTTAAAACCAGTTATTCCGTACCTGAACACTGTCAGCAGAGGTCAGTGACTGAGGCAGTCAGGGTTCTTCAATACGGTTAGGGCATCATCACAAGGAAAAAAGCCCAGTTATGTTTAGTGTGATGCAGTTTCTTCCTTAATATGTTCATTATGTGGTTGCTCGAATGGAAATCTGAAGAGCTGACTTTAGCTATTAAGTATCTACCAGTACTGTGCAGTGATCCAGGCCTCTGGAAAACCGGGACCAAGAGGATTTCACTGAGTCTGTATTACGGGGTGCGCTAAAGAAGTCAGCGGGGAATTCATCACCATCTGGACAGAGAGCTGTGAGAAGGAAGAGTAAAGCAGGATGGAAAAGACACACATGTGGGTCTGCATGTGTGTGTGAGCGCTGTTTTGGACAGAGACCGTCTGAGGTCTGAAGGAGTAGGGCCATCTGAGACTGGGAGCCGGGCTGTCTCAGTCACCTGTGCCCATGCCTCTCCCTAGGTCTCCCTGCAGTACCAGGCCTCGGGCTCCTGGTACCACACCTGCGGAGGCTCCCTGATATCCAACAGGTGGTTCCTGACAGCCGCCCACTGTGTGAGGTAAGACCCCGTCCCTAGCTCAGGCTGCCGACCTGAGGCTGGGTCACCTCTGACAGCTGCGCCCACAGGGCCTGCGCCCACCACACACAGCAGCCTTGCAGAGCCATGCGGCTGGCCTAGAAAGCTTCGGCCCCTCTGTGACTCAGCCTGCGAGTCACTGGCAGGCCAGGACAAGGTGGGGCTCATAGCTGTGTGTCAAGACTGAGGGAAGCGATAGAGGAGGAGACAGCCAAAACCCCACAGTCTTGGGGTAACCAGAGGTGGCCTCTGCATCGGGAACTATGTTCCTTTAATGACTTCAGTGATTTCTGCAACCTTTAATAACACCATTTGTCAAAATGGTATAACCGAGCTCAGTCTGAACTAAAGCAGATGATATACAAGAGGGCCTGGTGCTGAGTAAGTGCTTGATAAAAGTCCACTATACCAGGCATGACGGCACACTCATGCAATCCCAGCACTCAGGAGGCTGAGGCAGGAGGATCGCCATGGGTTCAAGGCCAGATCCTGCCACAATAAATAAATAAATAAATATAACAATTTATATACCGATTTTAAAGACAAGAAAAAGAAAATACAGGGCAACTTGTTCACTGTCCTCTCGCTTCTGAGTCTCACTGGCTTATTTCACATCAACTGAGACTCACCTCTGTGTCCCTGGCATCCCTTAGGCTGGTGTGACCCTTTCAGGGAGCAGTCTCTTCTCCCACCGGATTTATATTTTGGTGGGAAAGATAATAGAGGCCTGGGAATTACAAGGACTCACTGGGCTGAGCACCCCATCTGGGGCCTCAGTTCACCCATCTGAAAATGAGAGCTGAAAATAACTTACAGAGTGCCACAGAGGGGAACTGATTCCTATTTTCCCTCTGTCCATCTCACTCCTTTTATAGCAATGCAGTTTCTGTGATTACAGCTTTGATTACACACTATACACTAGTATAGAGCAGTTGTGTTATTGTGTAGTTAGGGTGTTACGTCATTTAGGTTTTATTAGAAATTCTTGCCCTCACGGAAGAAAATCCCGAAGTCCCACTAGTGGGCCCCAAGCAGTAGTTCACTGGAGGCCCTGGCCTGCCTTATCCTTGCTGAGGGTCTAAGTGAGCAGGGAGCTGAAACCCTCCGCTTGGCCCATTGCAGTAACTCCAACACCTACCGGGTCGTCCTGGGCCGGCACAGACTCTCCACCAATGAGGCTGGCTCCGTGACTGTCTCCGTTTCCAAGTTTGTGGTGCACCCCAAATGGAACAACAATGCCGCAAATGGGTACGTTGCTTCTGGGTGTACATGGAGCTGGGGTGGTCAGGGGAACAAGGGGTGGTCATCCCCATCCCTACCTCTGACTGATTGGAGCCAGACCCAAAGCTGCCAGGCCGAGATGTGGAGGGAGGGGCAGAGTCCTGTGAACTAGATGCAGTCCTCTCCAAGAAGCATGCAGAACCCTGTGCCCAGGCTCTCAGTGACCCTCTGGGTCACGAATTCATGCCAAGCCTTGGGCCTACAGCGCTGCCTCAGAACCCTACCTGTCAGTGGACTGGAACTGTCTCTCTTCACAGTCCAATAAGGTCTTCTACATCTCCGAAGATGCACTGTGGTCCTACCTACAGGGACAGTGTCAAGACAGTGCACTTGCAAGATGACAAGGCCTCTGAGCTCGTCAAAGGGCAGGAACAGTGAACCCTCCCTGTTCATGCTCTGCCTCTTTCCTGCTGCAGGTACGACATTGCCGTGGGCAAACTGTCTCAAGCTGTCACCCTCAGCAGCAAGATCCAGGCGGCCAACCTGCCAGCTGCAGGCACCATCCTGGCCAACAACAAAGCCTGCTACGTCACAGGCTGGGGCCGGCTGCAGAGTAAGTGCCAACCAGGTGCCATGAGCCCAGGCAGGGAAGGCAGGAGGAGTCACCAACATCACTCAGGATTAAAGCAAATCATCCCTTAAAAGTGCTTAGTGCACTAACCAAGAAACATGGAACATGGTAGCTTAACATATGTGACATCTGTATGACCCAAGGGCAGAGTCCACAGCAGCACTGACTCTGTGACCTCAGGGTTCTAGAGCCCCTTCAACATCAGGAGGGGCTGGAGCCACCATTAGACCCCCCTGTGCCATAGCCAATGCAGGGCTCTGTGCCATCTGGTCCTGCCTCTGAGAACTAGGAACTGTTAACAGCACTGACTGATGGCTCTTCACAGAAATCCAACAGTCAAAATTCCAGTGACATTAGGCCACCAGGGACAAACATAGCACCTGACCTTCCTTTGTTAAACAACAAAAATTCTGAAAGGCTCAAGAGATGCTGATGCCGAGGTGGTTAAAGACATAAACCTACAAGTAATGAGAACATACAAACACCCAAGGAAGCCAGGAGGGTGGAGGTATACGCTTATCACACACAGGTGTGACTGCTCAGAACACACCAGGGAAGAACCAATCTCACCTGCCATGTGAAGAGCAAGGGAGGGTTCAGATGCTTGGCTTTAACCTCTCTCTGTTAGTCACTATGAATCCCTGGACAAGTTACTTTGGGACCTCAGATTCCTCATCAGCAAAACGCAAATTCTGTTGTGAAGACTGAAAGAAATGATAAATGTGAATATGCTTCCTCTACTGCAAAATATTACCTGAACATTACAGGTATTTTCACTATTGTGATCCTACAGGAGATACAATTTCTCTTGTTCTCAATGTCCCACCTAAAAAGCAGAAATAAATGGGACTAGAAGTGCTTAGAGAATATTTAATTTTAGAGAATTCTTTAAAAGTACAAAAATAGTAATCCTTTCCATTTCCATTAGCGCCAGTGGTGACACTAATGGAGATGACGGTGGCAATGACAAATCTCCCCCTCAATACGATAGAAGGCTCTAGATGCACACAGCCTATCATATTTAAGATATGTCCCAGAGCTCCATGTACGTATCCGAGATAGAAAATGCATTACAAGGATTGAAAAAGTCAATTGAAGGGCTGATAGACAGCCAGACATCAGAAACATGCTAGAATCAGGGACTGGGAAACCCATAAGAAACTCAGGAAACCCTTGACCAAGATTTCCTATTCTTGTAGATTTTCTCCATGTGAAAAAATGGCTGTCACCTCCAACCTCTTTGCATCTCCGGCTCCATGCTAGGGAAAGAGATTATTGGCTTAGATCGAGTCAGGTGATCATCTCTAAGCCAATCACCAGGAGCCAGTACACTAACCAATCAAACATGAGGAAACAGTAGGGACAATATGGCTGCTCCATTGAAACATTTTACCTGGAAGAAATTAACAAAGGACAGAAACCTATAAAGTAGCCCAAATTCCCTTTCATTCAGGATACTCTTTGTCACTCTAATGGCTTCCTTTTGGTCTCATTCAGCTAATGGACCGACCCCTGACGCCCTGCAGCAAGGGCGGTTGCTGGTAGTGAGCTATGCCACATGCTCTAGCTCTAGCTGGTGGGGAAGTTACGTGAATAACCAGATGATCTGCGCTGGGGGGGATGGTGTGATCTCCAGCTGCAGTGTGAGTATGAAAATCGGGTGCTGCCTCAACAGCAAAATGAGACCAGAAATGGGGAGAACGCCAGGGGTCCCAGCATCTGTCCTCCTGCCTCGTGGTAGAGGTAGTTCTGGACATTTCAGAACCTGCCCATTGTCCTTCTAATATCCAAAAGTAATGTCTTCAGATTCTACTTATACTGCTCATCCTGGCTCACTGCTGGGAAGTCCTTCTCACCAAGGTCTCATTACTAACATTCCACCTTCCAAGAGGAGGTATTTTCTGGGTTAGGGCCTTTCTAAGGTCATTTCTATTTAGTTTTTAATTAATCCCATTAATGTTCCAAAGTACCCCTCAAGGTAGTTGCCATAGACTCCTTCCTGGAGACAGTGTCTTCCTCAGAAGGAACTCCTATGTTACAGACCCCTCAGGGGACTAGAAACAGATTTGGAAGGGTCTTGTGACACCCTTCAGATCAACTGTGCCCTTACATTCCACACACATAGGCTCCCAGGAAGCTCCTGGTCACAGGAACAAGTAGCAGATGGTTAGCGTAGAGCTGGGAGCACAGGACTGGTTTTAGAGGACAGGGAGCTCTGTGTTAGAACATCAATGCCCTGGGAGTAAAGGTTCCTGTGGGTGGCACCATCACAGCCCTCACCCCCCACTCGGCTTCCCTAGGGAGACTCTGGAGGGCCACTGAACTGCCAGGGAAGTAGCGGCAAGTGGGAAGTGCATGGCGTGGTCAGCTTCGGGTCCAGTCTGGGCTGCAACTACTACCGCAAGCCGTCCGTCTTCACCCGGGTCTCTGCCTTCATAAGCTGGATCAATCAGGTAAGAAGCAGACCTCCCTGAGTGCACTTGAGTTGTTTGCTTCTCTCTGGATACCACAAGAGCCTCGGCCTCTGGGAGCCCAGAATGGCCCTTCATCCAGCGAGGCAGAGGAGGGTGCACAACTGAGCAACTCTGCTAATCATCCCCCACAGGTTCCCTCTGGTTTCATTTTCACTTCTTTTCTGTGTGTGTGTGTGTGTGTGTGTGTGTCACTGGGGACTGAACCCACAGTCTTCTCACGGAGCTACATATGCAGCCATTTTTCATTTTGAGACAAGGTCTTGATAAAGTTCACTATGCTGGCCTCAAACATGAAATCCTCTTGCCTCAGTCTCCCAAACAGCTGGTGTAACAGGCATCACCAGTATACCTAGTCTGGGGACACATTTTAACACGCACACACACACACTCACTGCCACCACCTCAGCTGCTCTACTGTAAAATGGGATTGGAGGGGCCACCACAGGTGAGCACAGCAGTGCTGGTGACAGAGTCCACTAAGTGCAGAACTTGGTATCTGATTTCATTATTTTCAGTTTAACTTGCAGACGACTTTTTTTTCTTTTTGTTTTTGTTTTGTTTTTGTTTTTGTTTTTTGTGTTTTTGAGACAGGGTCTCGTTGTGTAGTTCAGGCTGCCTTGAGCTCACTTTGTAGGCCAGGATGGTCTCAAACTCGCAATGATCCTCCTGCCTCAGCCTCCCTAGTGCTGGGATTACAGGCGTGAGCCACCTCGCCTGGCTCTAAGCAAATACATTTTTTCCCTGCATCGGTACCAGGGATCAAACTCACAACCGCTATTTGCAGATGACAGTTACACTGAAATAAATTATCACCATTACAAAGCCAAGTGTGAATTCACAGCTATGACCTGTGGACACAGTAGGACAGCCCCAGGGTGGGAGGAAGCAGGTGGCCTAAATTTACCCATTTTCCCACACCACCTCCTCCTGGACACATCTGGCTGCTGGCTCTACCTTGCTGACAAGTGCCCGTGTCACCCAGCAGCCCCAAGATTATAGAGAAAAATGGAAAATTGTGAAAGACAGGCCAGTTGTAGAGATTTTGTTGTTGATTGGTTTCTTTTCTATTTCCATGGGGCAAAGCCAAGACTCCAAGTTGGAAGAAGGAAATCTGAGGTCAGCTTTTGCTGTGCCACCAGCATCCCTGAACAGCATCCATGATAGCACAGAAAGATGCTTAGGGCTTCTTCCCAGCAAATCCTAAGACCGTTTTCCGCTGCATGAGTCCCTGTGACTGGGGCTGCTACCACCTTCAGGACAAAGAAGGGGCCAGGCAAAGTATCCTGATTTCTTGTCCCAGGCTCAAATGTTCCTAGTCACTGACACAGGTGTGATGCAGCAGGCCAGATGGCAAGGGCACCAGAGGAAGAGCAAACCTTGCTTGGTAGCTGGGCAGGGGCCCTGTGTTCATGGGACTGCAGCCAGGGAAGCGCAGATGCCCGCTGATGGGTACCTGGAGTAGCAGAGGCAGCAAGCTGCTGTCCGATGGTGGACGCTGCCCAGGAAGTGCTCAGGAAGGGGCTTGTGGAACCCTGCTGTGTTCCAGGCCCAGAGTCACATCGTGTGCACCTGAGTCACACACAGCTTCGGCCCTGGGTGGGAGGGATGAAGAGCACCTGTCAGTGTCAACCTAGGCAGGTACACAAGGCCAGGATGCTGCCAGTAAAAGTCATGGACAGTGGAACACAGGTGGCCGTGGCATTGCTTCCTACAACACACATCCTTTGAATGGCCGCAAATGAGCCTGAGGCAGAACCTAGCTTGGTTTAACAGATGAGAATAATTTCATTATAGAAATACGAAGGCACACGAGTGTCCAATAAAAAGTGCAATCGCCCCTCACCTTCTGTCTGCAGCTCTTCCAGAGAGAAACACTGGTAACAGCTCCATGTGTGCTCTTCTGGGGTTTGTGTGCATCTAAAAAAGACTTGTATGTGTACATCTATCTTTTTTCTAATCCATTCATTTTTTATTTGTATTTCATACAGCAGATTGAACCCATGGCCTTTGCACTTAGTTCCATCCCCAATCCTTTGTGGGTTTTCTGTTTTGAGACAGGATCATGCTAAGTTCCCCAGTTGGGACTCACACTTGTATGTCTTCTGCCTCAGGCTCCCAGAGTGCTAGCACTACAGGCATGGGCCACTGCGCCTGGCAACAGAGGCTGTCTCTAACAAGAAAGGACCCCTGATCCTCCACTGCAATGTAGATCACATTTTCATCAGTACACAGATCTAGGCCCTGATTCTGACCTGCTAAATGCAGCTCCACAGCATGAACGTAATGGGGGTGCTTCCTCTGTCCCTAAGCTCCGTTCTTATGTTACTGTACTGTACATCCTTGGATGGTCTTGCACCCCGAGTACTTGTGCTATGGAGATCCGGCAGCTTCCCTGGCTTGTGGAGTTCGCAGAGGAGAATGTTAAGCAGCTGGGGAAGGTGTTTATCATGCTGCACATGTGATAGGCCCCAGTTCCGTCCCCAGCACTAGAAAAACATGTTTCATGAATACTGTTTGGCAGGCTCTAAAAGCAGGTTCCATTGTCTGCCAGGTGCAGAGGCCCTCACCTGTAATCCCAGCACCCCGGGAGGCTGAGGCAGAGCATCAGAAATAGGAGCCCAGCCTGGGGTAACTTAGTGCCTTAGCAAGACCCTGTCTCAACACACAGAATTTAAAAAGACTGATGATAAGGTTACTGAATAAAGCTCTAGGTTCAACATACAGTACCACATTTAAACAAGAAAAGCAGAGTACCTCCCACAGCAAGGATCTGTGCCCCAAAAACAGCAGTTTTATTTGAGAAACAAATGAAATCTAAAAGACCACACACAGCCATATGGGACTCCCTGTCACCTTTAGTGGTTCCCACAGCCCCTGGCCTGAAGCCCAACAAGGACAGCAGACGAAGACCCCTCTTCACAGGAACAATCAGCTGCTCAGGGGAAAGCTGTGACATCTTGTCCCCCACATACACAGGGTCCTAGGCAGCAGCTCCTGTGTGAGGACCCTGCACCCCGCACTGTGACTCCCCCAGGCACCGGGTCAGCAAACCCGGTGGCTCAGTGGCTCTGCCCCAGGCTAACCTCCTATTTCCTGTGTGTGTCTGCAGGCAATCGCAAGCAACTGATCAAAGAAGACTCTGGGACTGGCAGACAGGGGGAGGTGACAGTAAAAAAAATAATAATAAAGTGACAATTCAGTGAATCCCTCCATGGTCATAGTCTTACTACAAATGTCCATCCCAAACTCCAGGTCCTGAGAACAGGAAAGGGGCTCCAAGAAAGGCCGCTCTGTGCAAGGCCAGCAGGTCAGGCTGCACTCTGGGTGCAGAGTGTATCTTAGGACAGTGCTCGGGAGATGTGGTATATGGGACAGGGGACCTGGATCTGGCCAGTGGTCTACGCTGGGCACGATGTTCCACAGGGCAAGACAATCACCCATCCCGGGCTTGCGGGCTCTGCCTGTCACTATCAGGGATGGGGTGGGGTCAAGTTAAATTAGGCATGGAGAAAATGGGTTTTTTTGTTGTTGTTGTTTGTATTATTTTGTCTGGTGGTTCTCAGGCCTGAAACCAGAGTCTCACATGCTAGGAAGTGGTCTGCCCCTGAGCCATGCTCAAGAATGATGAGAAACTTTGAAAGACAAGGGTCCAACGGCAACCCAAACAGCTTATTTATCACAACTGCCAACACTGCGCTTAAACCTAAAGACTGAAGTTTAAATTTAGGAAAATATAGCTCAAACGTCAACATTTTTTTGGTCTTAAAAGCAAAACAAGACACATATCATAGGTTCGTCACCACTTCCCTAGTCATTTTAAAAGATGTTTTTATTTGGTGTCACCTGACTCCAGGGAAATGTTTTGAAAACAGCAGTCTGCCTTATGAGGGATGACAGTCAGAGCCAAATGGATACAGGCAGAGGTAAAAGGGCATCGCACTCATGTGAGCCTTACTATATAACACTTAGTAACCCAGTAAAACAATGTTAGCCCTTCCTGACACCTCAGAATTCCTGGCCTCTGCCTTTTAGACTCTCCTAGCTAAAACTGGTTAACCTGAGAGATGGTTTGTGTGTGGCCCCAGATCCCTGCAGAGCCTCGCTTCTCCAGTAGGGGCAGTTCTGTCCCCCAGGGTACAAGTGGCAACATCTCAAGATGGCTGTGGTCAGCCCAGCTCAGGGAAGGCAGCTACTGCTACTGGTGGCTGAAGGCCAGGAGGGCACAAAGCATCCTCTGATGCTAGGGCGACCACAAGACTGGCTTCAGAGGACAGAAACCTCGATAATAGAACATAACTGCATCGAAGCAAAGGCTCAGCGGGTGGCACCTTCACAGCCTTCACCCACCACTCGGCCTCCCCAGGGTGATTCTGCATGAATCGCTGTGCCAGGGGGCTCACGGCAAGTGGGAAGGGCATGGGGTAGCCAGCTTCTGGTCCACTCTGGGCTGCAACTACTCCCACAGCCGTCTGTCTTCACTCGGGTCTCTGAATTCATAGACTGGATTGATGAGGTAAGAACAAGACCTCCTGAGACCTGTCCTTCAACCGCACAAGGGCCGCACCCTCTGGGAATCCAGCATCCCCCTTCCTATAGCAAGCACAGGATGCTGCTCACCTGAGCAACCTGGGGAACCCCCCCACCCAAGATTCCCTAAGGATTTGTATTTTGTTTTTCTTTCTCTCATTCTTTTCTTTTTTTGGAGGGGGGGGCGTGTGTTTGTATGTGCGTGTTCATGTATGTGTATGTGTATATACATGTGCATGTGTGTGTGTGTGTCTCTGTGTCTGTGTCTTTATGTTACTATAGAGTGAACCCACAGCCTTCTCACTGAGCTACATATTTAGTCATTTATTATTCTGAGACAGGGTCTTGCTAAGTTCACCATGCTGGCCTCCCACCCAAGGCCCCCAAGTCAAGAAAGAGAGACCAGCTGTGCGGATTTTGTTGTTGCTTGGTTTGCTTTCCCTTCCATTTCCACTGGACAAAGCCAAGACTCAAGGTTGGCAGAGGGAAATCTGAGGTCAGCTTTGCTGTGCCACCAGCATCCCTGAACAACCTCGATGATGGCACAGAAAGATGCTTAGGGCTTCTTTCCAGCCAATCCTGAGACAGTCTTCCAGCCCCAGCCCTGCATGAGTCCCTGTGATTGGGCCTGCTACCGCGTTCAGGACAAAGAAGCAGCCAGCAAAGTTGTCCTGATTTCCTGTCCCAGTCTCAACTGTTCCCAGTCACAGACACAGGTGTGATGGAGCAGGCCAGAGGGCAAGGGCACCAGCAGGAAGAGCAAACCTTGCTTGGTAGCTGGGCAGGGGCCCCGTGTTCATGGGACTGCAGCCAGGGCAGCACAGATGCCCCATAGTTGGTTGCAGGAGTGACAGAGTCAGAAAGCATCTGTCCTCTGGTAGTGGCTGCCTGGGCAGCTACAGAGGGACTTTTGGAACCTTGCAGTGACCCAGGCCCAGAGTCCCATTGTGTGCACCTGAGCCACACACAGCTGTGATGCTGGGTGGGAGGGGTCAGAAGCACCTGCCTGCATAAAACTAGACAGGTACACAAGGCCAGGATGCTGCCAGTAAAAGGCACGGGCAGTGGGGGACTGGTGGCCAGGGCTTTGCTCTCTACAGCAGACATCCACTGAATTCCTACATGTGAGCCTGAAGCAGTACCTAGCTTGTTTTAACAGATGAGAATAACTTCATTATAGAAATATGAAGGCACATGAGTGTCCAATAAAAAGTGCAATCGCCCCTCACCTTCTATCTGCAGCTCCTCCAGAGGGAAACAGTGGTAACAGCTCCATGTGTGCTCTTCTGGGGTTTGTGTGCATCTAAAAAAGACTTGTATGTGTACAGACACATGTACATCTTTCTTTTTTCTTATCCGTTAATTTATTTATATTTGATACAGCAGACTGAACCCAAGGCCTTTGCACTTAGTTCCATCCCCAACCCTTTGTGGATTTTCTGTTTTGAGATAGGATCATGCTAAGTTCCCCCGTTGTGACTCACACTTGTGTGTCTTCTGCCTCAGGCTCCCAGAGTGCTGGCACTATAGGCATGGGCCACTGCGTCTGACAACAGAGGCTGTCTCTAACAAGAAAGGGCCCCTGATCCTCCACTGCAACTTAGATCACATTTTCATCAGTACACAGATCTAGGCCCCACTTCTAACCTGCTAAATGCAGCTCCACAGCATGAATGTAATGGGGATGCTTCCTCTGTCCCGAAGCTCCATTCCTATGTTACTGGACGACACATCCTTGGATGGTCTTGCACCGTGAGTACTTGTGCTATGGAGATCCGGCAGCTTCCCTGGCTCATGGAAATGGCAGAACAGAATGTTTAGGAGCTGGGGAAGGAGCTCAACATGCAAATGGAACAGGCCCTAGTTGTGTCCCCAGCACCAGAAAAGCATTTCATGGATACTGTTTGGCAGCCTCTGAAAGCAGGTTCCATTGTCTGCCAGGTGCAGAGGCCCTCGCCTAATCTCAGCATCTCGGGAGGCTGAGGCCAGAGCATCAGAATATGGAGCCCAGCCTGGGATAACTTAGTAGCTCAGCAAGACCCTGTCTCAACACACAAAATTTAAAAAGACTGGTGATGAACCTCAGTGCAACAACTTGGGGCTCGATACACAGTACAACTTTAAAAGAAGAAAAAAGAAAGCAGGGTAAACCTTTCCTAGCAAGCTCTATGGCCCCAAAACAGCAGTTTTGAGAAACAAAATCTAAGCCAATCCGCCCATACTGATCTCCCTGTCATTTTTAAGAGTTCTCAAAAAAAAAAAAAAAAAAAAAAAAAAAAAAAGAGTTCTCAGGGACCCTGACCTGAAAGCCAAAGCAGGTGAAGACCCCTCTTCACAGGAAGAGCCAGCTGTTCATGGGAAAGCTGAGACGCATCTTCCCCTACACATGCACAGAGCCCTAAGGCAGGAGCTCCTGCAGGAGGCCCCGTGACTCCCACAGGTACCCAGTGAGCAAAGTGCCAGGGCAACTCTGCTCTGGGGTAAACTCCTGTTTCCTGCGTGTCCACAGGTGATCGCAAACAACTGACCAAAGGAGTCTCCGGGACTGTCAGACATGGAAAGGTGACAGCAAGACAATAATAAAATGACAACTGCCTGAATCATACCATGGCCCTAGTCTTATTAGCAAACGTCCTTCCCAATCTCCAGGTCCTGAGGACAGGAAAGTGGCCTCAGGGGCGGGTGATCTGGGCTCCTGAGTCCCTCAGCAAGGCCGGCACATGGGAGACGTGGGTCAGGACAGGGGACCTGCATCCAGCCAGCTGTCTCCACTGGTTACCGCACTCCACTGGGCAAGAATGTCACCCTCTCTGGGCTTACAGCCTCCACCTCAGTCACTAGTGTGATCACGTGGGGAACAAGTGAAATTGGGCCTGGGGAAATGGGTTATTTTGTGGCTTTGTTTTGTTTGGTGTGTCTGCACACCGAACCCGCAACCTCACACATAATAGCAATGTTCTACCATTGAGCTACACTCAAGACCAACGACAAAGCTTTTAGAGACGAGGGTCCAACTGCAACACAAGGCCCACTTATTTATCACAAAGTGCCTACACTGCTCTAAACCTCAATACCAAAATTTGAGTTTAGAAAAACAATTTATATATAAACATTTTTTGTCTTAAAGGAAAACAAGGCACATGCAATAGATACGCCACCACTGACATCACCATTTAAAAATTTATTTTTTATTCTTTTGAGATACCTGACTCTAGGAAAATGTTTTGAAGATGATAAAATTGTACTTTATGAAGGAAGACAAAGAGTTGAAGGAAAATGAGAAGGAACAGAGGAAACAAAAGAAAAAACCCACATTCACCTAAGATTTATTTTTTAAGACTAAATAATGTGATAAAAGAATGTTAACCATTCCTGACACTTCAGAATGACGGACCCCAGCTGTTTAGACTCTAGTAGCTGAAATTGGTTGACCTGAGAGACACTGGTTTGTCTGTAGCCCCAACTCCCTGCAGAGCCTCCCTTCTCCACTGGGGACACTTTGGTCCCCTAGAGTACAGGTGGTGACATTTGGAGATGGCTGTGGTCAGCACAGCTCAGGGAGGGCTGCTGCTGGCTTTTGTGGCTGGAGCCCAGTGATGGCACAAAGCCTCCTCCAATGCCAGGGTGACCATAGACCAAGGGTACCTGGCCCACAGTGTGGAGGATGGGGAGCCCTGCTCCACAAAAGATGGGATGATGGGCCAGGCAGCAGCCCAAGGCCAGCTCTAAGGTGGAGGCCCCATGATGTCCACAGCTTTCTGGTCCTCTCTCTCTGCGCATGGACACTGCTCTCTGCTGTGGGAGCTGCCGAGACCAGTGAGGGATGGGAACTGCCCAGTTCCGAAGCCCTTGACTTGCAGGACGTGGTGGCCTTAGCAACATCCAGGCCTGCTGCAGCACGCTGTGCACGAAGGATGAGGTGTCCTCATTTGGTTTTAAAGAAAAGTTTTTTCCGGAGGAAATTGAAACAACCAGGAATCTGTTTATAAATCCCTTTCTCAGATACGGCGTTAGCCACCTGCAAAACCCAACCACAGCAAAGTTGTGAGTTCAGTGCTCTCAAGGGAATCCAGAGGTGGCAAGGTCTAGGGTGTCTGCTAACTGGACCCAGGGAGAACAGATCTACCTGCAGCCTCCTCGAGGACAGGGCAAGAACCTGGCCTGCAGAGCAAAAGAACACAAAATCATCCCAGGGGGTGGCACTGCCTGTAATCCCGCCACTTAGGAGGCTGAGTGAGGAAGATCACCTTGGATTTGAAGCCAGCCTGGACTAAATAATGAGACCTATGTCTCAAAAGGCCAAAACAATAAAAGAACACAAAAAATGAAAATGTCAAACCTTCAAAGTTCACAAAGTTCCACCCAGCCTGAAAGGTCTGCATGAAGAAAGGTCACGGGAAGAGACCAGGCTCCAGACCAGGAGCCAAGTGCAAGGCTTGGCCCTGGGTGTCCTCCACCCGTGCGCTGCAGGGTCCCAATGTCTCTAAGGGTCACAGGTCCACGGCTGTGGCAGCTGAGTCCCCTGCAGAGCCTGTCTCCTGTCCCAGGATCTGTGAGCAGTGCTCACCCCAGAAAGTCTCTCCCTCTCCAGAGCCTCAGTCCTCACAGCCCTGTTCCTGTGCAAAAAACAGGGCACACCTGGAGGGATGCACCTGCAGCCCCAAGCAGCCGGGGATTCTGATTGGCTGCTCACAGAGTGGGGCGGGGCCTCTCCCAGGAAGTAGGAGAATGCACTAAAGGAATCAGGATGCTCTGGGGTCAAAAGCAAAAGAGGGCACAGCCATGGGGCAGGGTACGGCCAGCCTTCAGGGGCACCATGCTCTGGCCACAGAGCAGTCCCACCCTGGGCTGAGGACAGCCAAGAGGGGTCTATCTGGGGGCCTCTAATAGGCAGGCCCCCAGGCAGGGCAACTGTCACCACAGACAGTTATGTCCCACATTGAGAAGCCAAAGCATCCACCAAGCCAGGTATGGTGCCTCATTCCTGTAATCCCAGCACTCTGGGAGGCTGAGGCAGGGGGATCACAAGTTTCAGTCCAGCCTGGGCGACTGAGTGACTTCACCAGACCTCCCCAAAACAAAAAGCCTTGGAATATACTTTAGTGTAGAGATGGGTTCAGTCTCTGGTTTCCCAACTCTCACAGCCCTAAGTAAGACTCAGCAGCAGATAGGACCTGTCACCATGATGTCTTGCATGTCACCCTCTGCCTATTCTGCAGAGGCCACACTGGACCCAGTAGCCCCACCACCACCCCAGGGAGGAAGGCGCCCCTCACCCTGAGCAGCAGGTATTGCAAGTCTTCAGAGGAAGCCCAGTGCTCCAAGATGCTGTCCAGGGTCTCAATGTACCAGGAGCCACGCTCAGTGTTCCTCCAGGAGACAAAACCTTTGGGAGGAAGGAACCCCAAACCGCTGAGAAGCCGCCCCCTGCCAGACACAAGTGCCCCGGCCCCTCTGACTGTGACTCATTCAAGAAGTGGCCTTGGGTTCGATCCCCAAACACCACACACATAGAAACGGTCCACGTCCCCACAGCTCTGTGCCTTCATTCATGCTTGTGACCAACCCCTGACTCTGGCTGTCACTCCTGTCTTTCCTGCAAGACCACTCAGCCTCCCAAACTCACACGAGTCACTCGAATAGTTCTGTACACCTTCTCTCCTGCCATGTGCCAGGCACTGAGTATGGCGCCCCCCAAGGTGTGATACTTTCCCTTTTTAAAGGTAAGAAGACTGAGGCAGGGCTGGGGGAGGAGGAGGCAAGGGACGAACACAGTCCAAGGGCTGTGACTCCTTAAACTGCCCCCTAGTGTCTCACCAGCCTGACTCCAAGCAGAGGCTCAGAGAGGGGCAGTCAGTTCCTTGCAGTCCCACATGCGCCATGGCACAGAACCAGGACTGGACAGCACAGCAGCCTCTGGGGCTGATGGGGACCCCTTGGCTGGACAGACGCACTCACCTGGGAAGGTAGAGTAGGACACAAGGATGTCACTGGGTGTGGGCAAACTCGACACTGCATCGGGCTGGTCTAAGGGCTCCAGGTCTCCCTGGAATGGGACAGCATCTGCCTCAGGGCTGCTGCCAGGGCCCTCGTCATCGGGCGACATGCAGGCCACCTCAAACCCATGGTCCTTCTGCTCTGCAGGAAGCAAAACCAATACCATGCATCACTGAAATACAGTAGTATTTCCCTGACAAAGAAAAGCCCTTCCCAAACTTCTAAAACCTCAGCAAAAGGAGCACTTTCATGCTTAGACTCCCAGAATTGTGAACCAAATCAATCTCTTTTCTTTATAAAACAACCAGCCTCACATATTTCACTACAGCAACAGAAAACTGATGAATACATGGGGGTGCATTACCGATGGTGGGAAGTGGTGAGGATAAGCAGAGGGGCTATCTGTGAAAAACAAACAACAGAATCAGAGAGGGGTGTAGGAAGGTGGGTGGTAAGTCAGACGGATGCCAGCTGCAGCTCCATTCATGTCCACTCTGTACATCTGACATGAAAGCCTAGCCTGGGGGAGTCTCATGCTTTATGTGTGGCTTGGTCTTACAGAGCCTCATTAATTCCAAACTCCCTGGCAGGCAAAATGAATTCTCCCATGAGAATAACTGCCAGTGGGCAGGGCTGTGTTCCCTCAGCAGGTAAATGCACAAGCCCTGCAGCGCTGTGAGGTGTTTTTCTGCCTTCCTGGCATGATCTCTGACAGTCTGAAGCAGGGTCACCGCGATCTGACAGCCTGGCCCAATGCAGGCAGCTACCTGGCTTGGCCTAGTGGTCACACTGTGTAGCACTGGACCTGCTGGCACTACCCAAGCCAATGACTTAGAGGCTTATTTTCCAGTCCTGTCCTGGCTTCTCCGTTAGTGATGTGGGAATTTTCACTACTGGAAGATTTTACCAATTCTTTTATCCAGGTGTGATGGCACACACCTGTAACCCCAACTACTCAGGAGACTGAAGCAGGAGGATCTCAAGTTTGAGGCCAGCCTGGGCAACTAAGTGACCTAACAAAGACCTTGTCTGAAAATAAAATTTAAAAAGCTGGGCTGAGGGTGTAACTCAGTGGCAAAGCAGTGTCTAACATTCAGGAGGCACCAGGTTCAAAATCACCAGTATCGTCAAGTAATTATCTACATTATAACAGCAAATTTTAAAATAACAATTCAACTATCACCAGAACCCAAGACAGACGCTGTCACTTCTGTACTTCTGTCTTGGCTGATGTGGCAAGAGCCCTGAACACCTGGTCACACAGCCCGAGACAGACAAATCGGGGCTGCATCTCCAAGGGATGCAGCTTAGTCACAGCATCCTAGTCCTTCTGTCTCCTTAATCCAGCTTCGAAATCTTGCTGTTCCCAGTAAGTTTTGCTTTGTTTTGTTTTCATGGAGAGAGTATACATTATTTCAAGTCTTGCTTAGATAGCTTTACTTGGTTCTGTTCTAAATTCAAATAGTTAGAATCCATGTAAGAGGTAACCAGATCATGAGCTGTGACCAGCTGGGAACCTGTCTGTAAGGCCAAAGGGGCTGGTCCTGCCCCTGGAGAGCTGTCCGGGGAGCGAGGCCACCTCAGTCCCGGGAGTTGGTGCCATCGCAGGAGGAGGACAGGGCTGCTGGGTGCCAAGGCCAGCTAACCTTGACCTTGTGCAAGAAGGGGGATGTTCAGGGAAGACTATAGGTAGTGATACTGAGTGACAGTAAGGACCAGGTCACTAGAGGCCTGTAGGAGTCCACTGAGAGTCACCACAGATCCACATGTGACAAAGGTCCTCTTGCTGCTGAGAATGATGGGGGGCAGGCAGCACCTGTCCTAGAAAGCTGGGATCCACCCTGAGCTTCATTCCTAATTCCCTTTGTGTCTTTCATGTGATTCCCAGGAGAAAGGAAGACCCTCAGATACGGAGAAAATCTGAGTTGTACAAGGTTTCTACAGTGCCAACAGCAACAGCCTCCCCTTTCCTGGTGTCACTCTCCCAAGGTAACAGCACTGAGACAGGAGGAAGGTGACACGGGGTCCTCAGGGTGGGGCGCAGGGAGTCCCAGAGTCTAGTTATTAAAATAAACCAGGCCCCGTCCATGTAGTACCTGGTGCGTTATCACAGCAATGCCACCAGGTAGGACCTGCTGTGAACCCCCTTTGTGGAGACACTGGAGCTTAACCTCCCAGGTCATTCGGAGAGTAGGGAGCCAGTCCAGACTCTCCATCATGTAAAGCATTAACCATGGCAGGGAGGCAACACAGCTCACGTCAAAATATAAACCTCAAGGGACACAGGTTCCTTCCCTCTATCTCTGTACCTAACGACCTAACTCACCTGGCATACACAATGAGTACTCAATAAGAGTTTGCTGGATGAAGCCTGTGGCCAGGACCTGCTTCCCCAGAAAACTCCCAGAGCAGAGTAACAGACAGGAAAACACAGCACAGGTTCTGAGCTGCAGCCGAGGATGTGCACGAGCTCCCAAGCGAGCCGGGCAGCTCTGCAGTGAAACAACGCCCACTTCTCTGCTAGCTGAGGCTAAGGCACAAGGAGCTGATGTGCCTTTCAGATGTCCCAGCCCCAGAGAGCCCAGTGTGGAAGGGACTCCCTGGAACACAACTTCTAGGTTACCACTGCCATGATCCACAAGCCGGGAAACCAGGTACAAAGGAGGGTACCAGGTGGGCATGGTGGCACTGCCAGTAGTTCCCGCTACTTAGGAGGCTAAGGCAGCAGCACTGCTCCAGGAGTCCTATTCAACCCGGGCAACCTAGAGACTTTGTCTCAAAAAACTAAAATAAGTAAATGATTCAATACATAAAGTCAGAGGGCTGTGATTTAAATGTGTCTATAGAAGTTCGTGCATTGGAAACTTTTTTTTTTTTTTGTCTTTTTCTTTTTCATCGGTACCAGGGATCGAACTCACGACCACACACTTGCAAGGCAGGCGCTTATGCCACTGAGCTAAATCTCCAGCTCCTGAAACTTATTTCTTAAGTTCATATTTTAGTGGTGTTTTGAGTGGGGTCCTCAGGAAGTAGTCAGGGTTAGATGAGGTTGCGAGGATGGATTCTCACAAAGGCATCAAAGGCTTTATGAGGAAAGTGAAGCCTGGCATGGCCTCACTCTCCCAGCTAATCAGGAGGCTGAAGCAGGAGGATCCCTTAAGCACAGAAATGTACACAAGTGAGACCCTGTAGTGATGATGGTGGTGATGATGGTGGTGGTGATGATGATGATGATGGAAGAGGAGGAGGAGGAGGAGAAAGGACAAGGAGGAAAAGAAGGTGAAGGAAAAAAAGAGGAAAGAGAAGGAGGAGGAAGAGGACAACGATGACAATGATTAAGATAAGGAGAATAGCAACAGCAGAAACCCAAGCTGGCACACTTCCTGTCTCCCCACGATGTCCTCTGCCACGTGAAGGGGCAGCACAAGGCCCTCACCAGAGGTCGGCACCATGCTCCTGACCACCTGGCCTTCAGGTCTGTGAGCTAACGGAACCTCCACTCTTCATCAACCACCCAGCCTGTGGCATTTGCTTAGAGCAACAGAAAGTGGATGAAGACACAGGCATAAAGCAAAACTGTAACTATTACAAATAATGTCGAAAAAATTCTCCAAATCGCCAGGATTTGAGCTCTTGGGAATTCCAATGACTGAATTCCTTAGCTGCCCCTGGCAGCTTGGCTGTGGTCTCCCTTTCTCTAGGTAAATGGTGGAGGCTGGAGAATCACGAGGACAGGGAAGGTAAGAAGGTACTGCCACACTATCCTCTGCTTGGTTTTCACCAAGCCTCTGGGGCTGATGTTGCCACAGTCACATGAGCCCAGGACACCACTGCAGTCTGAAATGACGACCTGTTTCTTTGGAGCAGTTGAGGCTGAGTGTGTCTAGCTAGCACAGGTGTCACCATGTGGTGACAGTGACCATGTCCATGTCTGAGACCTCTGACTGGCTGGAGCAGCCCAGTGAGGAGAGAGGTGGGAAGGGGAAGGGACGGCTCCTTCTCCACCAGCTACACCCATGGGGACTGGAGAACCACTTACCCCCACCACAGGCCTGGATGAAAAAGAGCTTGGGCTTCCCTCCCAGGCTGGGGCAGCTGGTCCCATTGAAGATGTTCACAATTCTCTCGACAGACACAGGACATCCGTCTGTGCCATAGACAGCACCCGGGAACTGGAGGTGGCTGGCCTAGAGGACCAAGAACCCTGGTCATAAAACCAAGACACTAGGACAGGAACCAGTGCCTTCCCAGCAGCTTTGTGGGGTCCAGGCACTCCGAAGGTCCCTGACAGGACCAGCTGGCAGGGTCAGAGCCGGCTGGCTCCAGAAGGACCCTGGTCAGCATCTACTGTAGGGGTCATAGACTGGTGAGCCCAAAAGAGCCAGATGGCCTGACAGTGCCAACCAACTGCCTCCAGGCCAGAGGGGCCAGTGTGGGCTCTGGATGAGCAACATCCACTTGGAAGAAATGCAGATTCCGAGCCACCTGGACCTCCGAAAACAGCAATCTGATCCTCTGGGCATCTCTGCCGCAGTTAAACACTGAGAGTGGCTGCTCTAGCTCAAGAGGTAATCAGAAAGTAATCAGGACTAAGTGTCCCATGCAAAGGTGTCCCAAGTCACAGTGCAGACTTTGAATGCAGCACTTCACTTCGGAGGCCTTAGGCTGCATTTCCCACAGGCTCTCAGGAGGTGCCCTGTGCCATGCTAAGAGGGGAAGGCTCAGAGAGACAGCCCCAGGTAGCAGCAGACCAGAGCTGCACGTGAGGATGCTGGACTGGTCAGGCCAGAACCTGGGGATTTTGATGAGAAGCTAGAAGAAATCTGCCAGTTTTTAAAGCACTGTGGAGCCAGGCATGGAGGCCTACACCTGCAATCCCAGCTGTCTGCAAGATTGGGCCAGGAGGGAGTTTGAGCCTAACCAGGGCACCTTAGTGACTTAATGAGACCTTGTCTCAAAATAGAAAAGAGCTAGGGATGTAGCTCAGTGTGAAGGTCTTGGTTTCAATCCCTAGTGACGAAAAAAGTAAAATAAATATACTGTTAAGCGCACAGAGGACCTCTAGGCCATCAGCCGGTGACTACTCGTCTGACAACCCCTGAAGAGACCAAGGTCCAGGCCGGAGCAAGGGAATGGCCACCAGTGAGCTGGCACATGAGCAGGTCCCTGCGCCCTGAGTCCTCCCCAGCAGCCAAGGATTGGCAGGGCTGGGAACAAAACCCAGAGGTACAGCTTTGGGAACAGACCTTGGCCCCCACTTCCATCCCAGATGGCTCCTCTCAGGACATGCCCCATACAGGAAGACACTTCCAACTCCTCAAAGGGCAAGGACCAGGAGGCCCTGGGAAACAGCAGGGGGTGGGCAGAGCCCCACAGCTCTTTCTCAGGAACCCACAGGTGCTGTGGACACGGGAAGGGTGGGGCTCCTGCGGGCCCTCAGGGGACAGCCTCTGTCCTGCACCTGCCGGAGGAGCAAGGCTGGGAGGGGGCGGCTCCCACCTGACAGCCGTGAGAGAGGATGATCACCACGCAGCAGTCCAGAGCTTGGTGGTCCTGCCGCGCCAGCTCTGCCAAAGCCTGGAGCATCTCCTGCAGGAAGGGATGGACTGCAGGTGAGCCAGAGGCGAAGACGAGTCATCTGCCCCCACATGCTGACTCCTGCTCCCTGCTAAGGCCAGGGCAGTGCATTGACTCTGCATCTAGGGACCAATACTGAAGTCACAATCACTGTTCTCAGGGAAAAGGTGCTGTTCATTTCATTCCCATCACACTCGGATGAGGGGGATTAGTCTTGCTCTCTAGACAGAGAAACTGAGGCAGAGGAGGTCCCTAGCAGGCACCCAAGAGAGCCAGTCTTCAAACCCTCCATTATGCTTGAGTTGTGACCACTGGGCCACACGGCCTCCTGCAGTCCTGGGGAAACAAGGGCTCACCTGGGGACTTGGCTTGCTTTTGAGGTCCCTCACAGACACCGCCCCACTCACCCCCATCTCCGCCCCCAATCGTTGGTCCACTGTACCTTGGCGGTCAGGTCACCCCTGACCGTCACGTGGAAATGCAGCTGGCAGAAGCGGCGCCGCATCTTCTCACAGTCGATGTTGGAGCCGGTGCGCGTGCCGAGCTCCGACGCCGGGCAGAAGTTCACGTTGTTGATGATGAGGCAGTGGCCGCAAGGGTCCGCGTCCAGGACGTACACCTGTCCAGGCACAGGGGCCAGGGTAAACCCGGGGCGACCCCTGCTGCTCACACATGTGGCTAACAGTCTGAAGGGGTGGCCCGGGACAGGGTCTGCCCTCCCACTGCAGGAACAGCAGGGTCCCCAGCCAGCCTTCCAGGGCAGAGGAGCCGCTCCCAGCCCAGGGCACAAACACCCACCCCAGAAGACCTCACACACAGGGGCTCTTGCCGGGGCCTCTGTCAGCAGCTCGGGCAGTGGCCACCCTCAAAGTGTCTGAGGCTCGGGCCCCTATAATTCCCACCCACAGTGGACTATTCATGTCACTCTATGTTTGCACAGAGCCCACAAGAGCCATAGAGTAAATAGGCCATAAGGATAGCAGGAGGGACTGGGGCTGATTTCCACTCCTTATGAGCCTCAGCCAACAGACAACAAAATGCAGGCTGGGACAATCGTGTTTTAGCGAGTGCTGGGCCAGCATCAGGGGGTTGTGGCAGGTGGGGACCAGAACCTCATTCTCCAGTCAGGCCAGGGGCCCCAAGCACTGGGCACAGCTGCAGGAAAAGGCCTGGGGACGGAACAGGACAGACCAAACCCCACTGGCCCCGCATCACATAAAAAACTCACCAAATGTGCACTTCTCAACTTCTCCTGACCACCTAGAGAGACAGAGCAGAAGGGAAATGTGAATGTTGGGGTCTACCAGGGAAAGGCCAAGAGACCATGTGAGAACAGTCCCTGCCAAACAGAGGACAGCAGAGACTTAGGGACCCCAGGGACTGCCGGTGGAAGAGTCAAGCAGCACATCCATGCTGAGGACCGTCTAACAAAGCCGACACCCCTACCCCTGATGTCTCCCAGGTTCAAACCCACAAAGAGCGCACATGTGTGGCCATGAAGGCTTGGCCGTGAACATTCGCGGAGGCCTGATTCATAAAGGTGGATGGAACCAACCACCAGCAATTTGACGGACACACAAAGCGTACGACACGGCCACCCAGGGGACACTACACAGCCTGAAGGTATACTGATACTGCGCACGACACCCAAGGCACCCTTGAAAACATGACACTGTATAAAGAAAGCCAGGTGCCACGGAGTACAGACGGAGACATTCCAGCTCAGAAGGGGGAGACGGCCCGAGCAGCAGGGAGTCTCATCTGTGGGGCTCACGGGGCTGAGCACACAGTAGGTAACCCTGGAAATATCTGCAGAATGAGACTAAATGAGCAGGTATTCATTTTCCTTCTCTATCAAAATAGTTTTTGTTTAAATTAGCAAGAATCAACCAACCGCCAGTTGACAAGGTCAGAAGATGTTTCTCCTTTCCAAACAAAGAGACCACGGTGGCTGCCTCTGCTTTTGTTCCCAGGGTGGCCCCACCGCAGCTCAGAGTGGGCCTGGCCCCTGCTGGAAACTGTCCTCCTGCCAACTTTAAAAAAGCAGCCGCATCCTGATGTTTCAATCAGAAATGGTTGGACCTCACCCAAAGACTCCTGTACGTCTACAGACCCAGTTCTGAGAATATCTGCTCATTTCCAAAATTCTGCTGTACCCCTAAAACATAACCATTATCCACTACTAAGGAACTCAGTCTTCCTTTAATTAGTGCTAGTGATCCACAAAGCAAAACTTGGGAGTCCACAGGATGCAAGAGTATGTGGAGGGAACAAATCTATACATGGCCACTAAAAGACAGAGGCAGGGTCAGCATCACAGGAAGAGGGTGTACACACACACGCACACATACACACATGCATAGGGCATCACATCTTAAAGTAAAAAGGTTAATTCCATTCTGAAGGAAAATGTATTTTCCCTCCCCCATACAAAGACAAAGGCACTCTCTCTGGTGGGCCTCTGTGCCTTGCATCCCCAAAGCACTGTGCTCAACTTTTTCACTGCCCTAACCACAAGCTTATAATTATGAAGACCCAACTGGAAGCCAGCTGCGGTGGCCCACACCTGTAACCCCAGCACTCTGGGAGGCTGAGGCAGGAGGATTGCCAAGTTTGAGCCCAGACTGGGTAATTTAGTGATTTAGCAAGAGCCTATCTCAAAATAAAAAAATAAAATACTAGGGATATAGTTCTATGCAAAGGCCTAGGGTTCAATCCCCAGAACAAGACCTAAATGAGTAGGCACACACCAAATCTCTACCCCTCCATATGAAATCAAGGATTGTACAGCCTTTGCCAACGCTGCATCCCCAGCAGGTCCTTGGCAAATATCTGAGTAACTAAGGAGAAGGTGACACAAATATAAAGACAAGAAAGAGAACGAGCCATTAGTCTGTAAGGCAGTTGATGGAGTGGGTCAGGGACATGGGGTTCCAGTGTTTGAATCCCAACTCTGCCACTGACCTTCTGTGTGATGCTCTATAAACTGCTCAGGACCCTCTGGGCCTCTGCTCTTCCCTTCTGTATCAGGAGACAACAGGAGCAACCACCGATCTCACAGGGTTTCAGTGAGGCTCCAACTGATGATTACATGTGACACCCATAAGACGGTACCTCACGTACCTGGGAACCCAGTAAAGCTGAGTGCGGCCATTCCAGTTACACAGGGGCATTCGCTTAGAGCCAGAGGAGTCCGTACTGTGGACGGCAGTTCTCTGCCCTGCAAGCATTCAACCACTGAGCCATGCCTGCAGCCCTCGAGTTGTCCTGGCATCACAGATGCATTAGTTAGCAGCACCCCTGGCTGGCTCTATCCAAGAGAGGCCAGCAGCGCCACTCCCCTTCAGCTGTCATAACCAAATACCTCTCTACATGTCCAGGAGTAGACAGGAGAGGCAGCAAAACTCCTCGGCTAGGAAGCACTGCTCTAGGGCACCCTTTCCTCTTTGAGCTTTGTAAAGTTTCTGCCAAATCCTATGAGCAGCCTGCTCCCACTCACCCAGATCTTGCCACACTTATATGACTGTAGAACTCTCCTAGGAGGGTACCATGAACCTCCCTTGGGAAATATTACTGGACAGTACTCAGGGGCTTCAAGTCCAGCACCTAAAGGGACACCTGGCAGCAGCATCGGGGTCAGTCTCTCTATGAAGCCAGAGGATATAGGCTGTGGACCCAGCTCTGCACTTAAACTCCCTCTGTGACCGTGGCTCGCAGACCCCAGCGTCCTCCTCTGTAAGTGGGGGACAGTAACAGAGAGGCTTTCCCCGAAGCCACTATCCAGTACGATTGTGATGACCTGAAAATGGGACACCATAAAGCAAAACTCATTCAAACCGATCCTATTTTTGCTATTATTATTTACACTTAGAATGAGTTTCCTACTAGGAATAAATATTCACAACAGGAAATACCTTAAAAAAGAACAGGAAGCTTCAAGTTCAGACCTTAGTCATGAGCTACTCAAATTCACAGAACAGATAAGAGCAGCTGCACTTTGGTTTCTGCCTCCTTTCCAGCAAGACAACAATGCCGATCAACAATGCCAGATCAACAAAGCCAGAACTAGTTTTCTCCCTTCTATCTCAAGCAGATGCAGCTTCTTATCTTTATCATGTTTGTTCGCTGTTTGAGCAAGCTATCCAAAATCACACTTTTTCACTACAGATACCACTTTTTACATCACAGAGGAAAAAATATTGATACTTCTCATTGGCAAGAGTGTGAGGAAAATGGTCACCTTACTCATGGCTGGCGGGATTCTTTTTTTTTTTAAGAAAAGGTTCCATTGTGCAGTTCAGGCTGGCCTTAAACTCACTGTGTAGCCCAGGCCAGCCTTGAACTCTTAGCGGTTCTCCTGCCTCAGCCTCCTGAGTGCTGGGATTCCAAGCATGTGCCACCACACCAGCCCGGTTGGTGAGATGCTAACATGTATTTGAAATGCAAGTTGGAAACATCTGTCAGAAGACAACAAGTACTCCATCAACCCACAGTTCTGTCTGAAGAAACTTGTCCCCCAGTCAGAGAGAGATGCACATAAAAGGCCACAGCAGAAAGAACACGAATGTCCATCAAGGGGTGAATAAATGACTCACAGTGTAAGGAACAGAACAAGGAAGCCCAGACCACAGTCCTGTCCACTTCTCACTAGCTCTCTACTTGGGGAATTTACTTTTAATTCTGTGGCTTCCTCTGCTCTGCAGAAAAATGAGAAATTGCGAATTAAGAGTAAAATTAGATCCCTTACGCAAACAACTCCAAAGAGCTCCTGACAGTAAGCACTCAATCGTGCTAAGCATTACTGTCCTATTAACGTCACTGGCACACAAGGGTCTACCTGGCAGATGTGAAACAGGAAGTATAGCATTAATTCTCCATGTGCTGTGCGGAAACAAAGCCCTGCCACCAACCCATGCAGCACAGTGGTTAAACTGTGGATTATTCTGCAGAATAGAAGCCACTGCCAGCCAGCAGAGCCAAAGAATGGACTCTGACATGCCCCAAAAATATGGCTGAACTCCAAAGATGCAAGGATAGGTGAAAGAAGGCAGATCCAACGGAGTCCATACCATAGGGTTTCATTTTATCGAGGTTCAGTGACAAGCAAAAGGGATCAGTGACAGAGACGGGAATACTAACTATCTCAGCTGGGGAGCGGGTTCTTGGAATGTTCTATATTGCGATGATCTGGGTGATGGCTACCTGTGTGTACGTCCAGGTAGAAGTCCATCTCTTCCCTAGGAATTCATATACTTTGTATGTTTTATTGGATGATGCTTATGATTTTAGATACATTATTTCACCTCACTGGCAAGGCTGAGTCTAATGATACTTATCTTGTGGGGCTGCTGGGATGGAAGGAAGTAAGATATACACTGCACTGATAGACAGATAGACAGATAGTAGGGCAGACTCCTGGCAAGCACAGGTCGCCCTCCGGCTGCCAGCCATGGGCTAGTCCAATCCCTGAACCAGGCCCCTGAACTATGCTTCAAGCTAAAATGCTTTTCAGAAGACAGGCTGAAAAAATTACATGCCCTGAAGACATATAGGAACATTCCACCCATGCCCTATGAACACTCAGTAAGATAACACCATAATTAAATTCTGCGTCTCAAACCAGCTGTACCCCACCACGGCCACCAACCAGGCACTCTTGTAATATTGACGAACATTACCCAATCCTTCAGAACCAATGTCCACTGGTCTGGGTGCTTCCGGTCTGAGAACCTCTGGCCTGAGCTGAGCTGGTAAAAGCTCCTCCGGCCCCAGCACCACTGGGGTGACATTTCCTGGGGCCAGATTCGATGGATCTGGCTTCATCACTCTCGGCTTCTCTGGTTTGAGTCCCATCGGTCCCACCACTGCAGGCTCCAGGTCCAGCGGTCTGATGGCCTCTGGATCCCTCTTTGTCACTTGCCGACTTGTGCGCAGCAATGAAGCCAGTGTGTCCTGGCCCGTTTCCTCTAAACAGCAGATGAACAAAGGAAGGGCCTGCCTCCCTCGGGTCTCAAGATCCGTGATCAGCTGCCTGGCCTGATCCCGCCGAGAACCTGCCTGCTGTGTGGACACAAAAACCAGACACTCACTATCTAGGTACTTTCAAACGGCCCTCATCCTGTCCCCCACTACCCATCTAGTGTTAAGCCTAGACAACCAAGCACATGGACAGAAACTGAGCTTGCAGGTGCACTGGACGTGTGCCCCTCCACAGCATGTGGTATTTCAGAGGCATCACCTGTGCCTGACCTGTGCTAAGTGTGAAAACACAGCAGCACACAGGGTAAATCCGCAGGTGTAAACTCTTAAAGGGAATGCAGACAGAGAAGTCAGCAGGTACACAGTCAGGAGGCAAGTGTCAGGAGGGACAACCTAGGGGGCAGGCAGGGTACAGGACCACCCGATGCAGCTCTGTGGATCCAGAAAGGATGGGTTGGCAAGAGACCGTAGGGGAGGCAAAGAAGGAAATCATGAATTCACAAATGTGTAAGAGGATGAGTAGGAGAGGTGACATTCAAGGCCTTTACTTGGCCAGGCCAAGAAATTCATCCTGAAAACCCCGACAAGCCACTGAAGAGTTTGAGAAAAAAAGAAACAAAGACAGCTGCCTTCCAGAAAAATCATCCTGGGGCAACCCACTTGGGACTCCTGTCTCAGACAGAAGCTTTCTTTCTCCCAATAACTGTATTCTACTCTTAACCTCCACTGTTCCTAAAATTCACTCTTTGATCTTAGAGAACACAAACTCATACTGGACATCTAGGAAAAGGGGAGTTTCTTTCCTCTATATCAATTGGAGGTCTTCCACCAAGATCTTTGGATGGAGCTAAGAGTTTGCTTTTGTTTCACAGATTTTGAACTGGTATTTAGGTATCAAATTTTTATGCTTCAGATTTTATTTTGTATTTGCCCACGACTTTTAATTGTTTTTGCTGTCTGTTATACTTTTGTTAAAATGATATAGCTAAGTTAACACTTGGGAAGTTTATACGGTTTTGTTTTTGTACATGCTGCATTTAAACTAGTTACTAAATTTTCTGGTACTCCTTACTCAACTCTATTTAGACAACAGCGCTAGAGAGAGAATGTTCCCCGTAGACTTTAATACAGACTGTGAAATGGGTCTTCTCAAATAAAATCTAGCTCAGACTTAGGAAATATACATGCCTGCAATAAAACACAGGACTCCTTCCACCATGTAAACAGCACTAGGCCGGTGGCTGGTCTTAAGAAAAATCATCCTGGGGAGAGGATGGACAATGGGAAAGGGTGGGCCACCAGCAGGCCAGGAGGAGGTGGCAGGCAGTGCAGCTGAAATGGAAGGAAGAGACAAGATGAAGCAGAGATGACAGCAGGGAGAATGCACGGAAGTGGCTCCTGACTAGGTGGACCTGAGGGTGGAGGAACAGTCAAGGGTGACAGACAGGTGTCAAGATGGTGGGGCTGCTCACTAAGACAGAAGGCGTTCCAGCCTCCTTATCTGCCACCCGTCCTTAGATCCAGCACCAGCTAAGTTCCTCAGGACCCAAAGGCCACCAAAAAAAGGGGTCGGGGGACAGGTACAATGGCACATATCTGTCATCTCAGCTACTCAGGAGACAGGTAGGAGGATAAGCAAGTTCCAAGTCCAAGCCAATAACTTAGCAAGATCCTGTCTCAGAAAATAAAACAAGATGAGGTAATTCGGTGGGAGGTGCCACCACGCCAGGCTATTCCTAACATTTTAAGTCCAGGAACCTGACAGGGAAATCAAGATTTCCAGTCTCTCTTTAAAAGTGAGAACGACACAGGGCGAAAGGGTCAGGCCCTGGTGTGACCACACTTCAGCTAGAAAGTGCCCACTACCGTGCCCACCCACGGAGCCTCCAGGGTATTGGGCCTGTGATCCCTGAAAATGTGCCTGAAAGCAAGGACTATAGCCTCAAACCACTTCCACTACCCAGTGCAGGCCCACAGTGGGTGCTCCTGGACATGCGTGATCTCACCCCTTAAAACTGCATTACTGTGGCCCATCTCACTGCTCAAGATAACTGAGGCTCAAAAAGGAAATGAGTTTCCCAAAGACCCAGCGCCAGGCAGTCTGATGCCAAAATGGGTGCCTCGAGCCTCTATGCTAGAAAATAAACACACACGCGCCCAAGAAGCACAGGTACTAACAGAGCATGCTGATGGAGCAGGATGTGGAGTCACTTTAACAAACATTCAACAAAGAGGTGTGATTCTTTAGTTCTCCCGGAGATTTGGGGGCTCGATACAGGAAAGAAAAATGAGATGCCCACAGTACGGTTCTCTAAAGGGGGTCGGTACCGGCTGGTGCAGCGGACAAGAGGAGGACGGGGGCTAGGCCGTGAAGTCACGCTGTGACGTCAGCAACCCTCTTGGAGTAGCCTAGACGTCCCCACCCCAGACCCAGCGACCTGGAAGTCCGCGCGCGGCCGAGAGGCAGGGAAGCAGGCTAAGCAGGCGCGGGAGCACACCTGGATATCGTCGATCATGTCGGGCGTGAAGAGCTCGCGTTTCAGCAGAGCGTCCCACAGCGGGGTCACCTGCAGGTCACCCACCAGGCGCAAGCGGCACCGCCGGAGGAGCTGCCGATCCGCTTCGTCCATCGTAGAAAGCCAGCGGGACGGGGACTCCGGCCGCTTCCGGGCCTTGGGGCCGTGCCCGCCCCCTACAGGCCCGCCCTAGGGCCGCCCCTGACCCCGCGCCCTCTCCCCCGAGCCGGGCGGCCTACCTCTTGGCCCACTCACCCAGACCACGGCCCCTTTGCCCCGCCCCAGGACCTCCCCGTGTCGCGGCCCCGCCCCCGAACTCTGGCCCCGCCCGGGTGCCGCCCCCAAGTCTCTGCTCCGTTTTCGCCCCGCCCAGGATCCGCCCCTGTCCTTCCTGCCCTGCTCCCGAGACACGACCCCATCCCCGGGGCCTGTCGCAGAGTCCCCTGCTCCGCCCCAGACCATCCCACTGCCCCCCCCCCTCACCCGTCTGTGCCCCACCCACCCCCGTCTCTGCTCCGCCCCCGCACCTTCTCCCCGCCCAGGGCCCGCCCCCGTCCTGCTAGCCCCGCCCTCCCCGCCCCTAGGACCCGCCCCCGAGTCCTTTCTCTGCGGCGGCTTCGGTGTTTTCGTCCCTCCTGCCGCGTGGCCGTGCCGCCTAGGGATTGTGACACTTTTTTCAACCGGTGGAGGGACGCGTGATAGAACTCGCAAGTTTACACAAGTTCGAAGGGGTCACACTTCAGTACCGGCCAGAGAAAAAGCCACTCCTAGAGCCAGGGTCTGTCCGCCTCCTGCAGCCCCCTCACCAGATGTGGCTTCACTTTCACCCGCCTGTCCAGAGCACACGTCTGGCTTCCTACTGATCCAAACTCGGGTGTCTCACGGAACCAAGCCTTTCTGCAGTCTCTCACCATCCTCTTCTCTCCCACACTAACGCCTCCCACTAAGTAAATTCGCAGAAATCGAGTCTGCTGAAGTCTCATGATTTTGTTTCAGTCATTTCCACATTTAAAATAATTGCTCCTCTTGAGCCTTTGCTAAGTCGTACTAGTGTTTTACATGTTTTAAAAGTCTAGCATCCTGTCAGGGCGTGGTCCTTCCAGTGTGTGAGAGATGGTCCTGGGCTCAGGGAAATGAACTCAAGGTCACGGAGGACACAGATCAGGCAAAATGCAAATCCCGATTGATTTGGCTCCACACGCGCTTCACCTTAGAATATGTCCGAACGCTAAGTTACAACAAAATTACAGATCTCGTTTTGCTTTGTGATTCTATAATAAGCTTGTTCATGAGCTGAAAGGAAGAGGTTTTATAGTCGGAAAGGACTGAGGAAAGCAAAAGCAGGGAACAATGAGTGGATTGTTCTCTCAAAGTCACTTTCCTCATAAAAGTGAAAGTCGAGGAGCTGCTCATTGTTGACCCAAACTGGCCTGGCTTGAAATTTTGAGTATTAGCTCCCCAAACCGCACATGTCAGAAGTTCAGACAACCTAGTTTTAGCTTGGTGGTCTGTTGGGTCCTAATATAGAAATTAATACTGTCGGAGAGGGGCTGGGGGTTTAGCTCAGCGGCATAAGCACCTGCCTTGCAAGCAGGCGGTCGTGAGTTTGATCCCTGGTACTGATAAAAAAATGAAAAAGACAAAAAAAAACAATTAAAAAAAAATACTGTCAGAGAAAAGATGGATCCTTGAAGGAAGTCAGCTCCAAAAAAAATCAGAATTTTGACATCAGAATTGTGGCTGGAGGCCAATCTGAATAGAATCAGGCCTCAGGAAGGAGAAGCAATAGCAAATTCTGCATACCTCTCTAGAGATGAACAGATATTTAAAATTATACTGTCATTAGCACCACCCCGTTCATGGGTGCAGGCACGCATCACACTCACAGGTAGGATCCCCATCTACTCACAGGTAGAACAAAATGCCTTTGTTCTTTTTGCATACCTTTGCTATGTGACTCATTTCCCCACTGGAACAATATTACCTAAGTGGCTACAACACTATAGGTTGGTTGTAGTCCAACCCACGTTGTACCCACGTTGTGAGTTGGTTGTTTAAATTTTCTCTCACAAGGGGCTGGGGATTTAGCTCAGCGGCATAAGCGCCTGCCTTGCAAGCAGGCAGTTGTGAGTTCGATCCCCGGTACCAATAAAAAGGAAAAAGGAAAAAAAAAAAAAGTTTAAAAATTCTCTCTCACAAAGGGCCTCATGCCAACCACTCTCTGTACCTCTCCTGTGTCTCAGGAGCTCTTTGGTTTTTTGTTTTGTTTTGTTTTCCCTGTCTTTTTGAGGCAGAGTTTCACTATACAGTTCTGACCAGCCTTGAATGCACTTTGAAGTCTAGGGTGGCCTTGAATTTGCAGTGATCCTCCTGCCTTAATTTCTTGAGTGCTGGGATTACAGGCATGTGCCACCACACCCAGGTTTTGTTTGTTTGTTTGCTTGTTTGTTGTTTTTTGAGACAGGGTCTCACTATAGTTTAGGCCAGCCTGGACTATGTATGCCAGGCTGGCCTCAAATTTATGGTGACTCTTTTCTCAACCTCCCAAATTCTGGATTTACATGGATGTGCCACCACACCCAGCTCAGGAGCTTTATCTTAAACCTTTTCTACTCCTAACCTTCTTTGTCCCTTGGAATTCATTCCTCAACATTCCAGGGCACATGAATTTGGCACATCTGACACCTAACAGGTTGAGAGTTTTATTTTCCTATATCCCTAGTGCAGAAGCTCAACCCAAAATAATGACTTAATCTGGGTTTGGTTTAACAAATATAATACCTTAAGCAGCAAAACCTTAGCATCAGAGCTGGGGCGCAATTCAGTACTAGAGCATTCGCTCTCCATTTCATCCCAACTGCTGGCTGGGGAGATACGTTATCTCCATTCTTTCGTTTATTTCACATTTACTGGAAACTTATACTCATGAAGATCAATGCATACATGGGGAATATAGAGATGAACAATAGAATTTAAAACCCCTGCCCTTAGAAGCTCACATTCCAGTGGGAAGACACAAGTGATAAGCAATATAAATAGGTATTTTAGTGACAAATGCAAAAAAGAAAAACAGCAGGGAGAAATGAAATTGCTTTCCTTATATTCTCAAGGGGACTATCTCACTGGCTCAAAGAAAGTTTACATCACCCTCCTGTACCTCCTTCCCTCCTTCCCTCCCCACCACCACTTCCCTTTCCAGCGTTTAAATCCTGGCTTGGCACATACTGGGATGTGACTTCTGATTGATAAACATGATTAGGTAACCTAAATTTAGAACTTGGGCAAGTCTCTGCTCCTCTCTGGACCTTAGCATATGGAGGAGGTGGTTTAGAAAAAGATCCCTAAGGTCCCTTCCACCTCTGACGCTCTAAGATTCTATGAATAGGGTTTAAGAGAACCGGGACCAGCGATTGCTTCCCCATCCTAGCAACTGTTGCTACAAGAGGGCCACCTCCCGGTAGGAGTGGAAACCCCTCCCTATACCCGGATGTCTTCCTGGTATCCCGTGATGCATAGCGACATTGCCTCGCTAGGAGGCACGTTCTGGCCTCTTTGGTCACGATCTACTCTTTGGATCTAGCCGTGGAGCGCGCCTTGTTTCTATAGCAACCTCGCCAGGTCCAGGCGCTGACGGCAAGTGGTAAGGGTCAATATAGATTCGCAAACTGGAAGCCCGAGACCTGTCCCATTGTAGCTTCATTGTCAGGCCCTTTAAATGTCACATGACTTCCCTGGGCTTGATCCCCGCCTCTTTCCCCTCCTCGGTCCCTGCTAACGCTGGTGTAAACGGGAAGCTCCCGGCCCGGCGGACTAACTGGAGCACCGACGCTGCAGCCGGTTGGGCCAGTGCCCTTTCCCGGTAATTCTTTCCCAGCGTGACGCGCGGAGCTGCCGACGCGGCGGGGCTGGGAAAGCTGAGATCTCCCGTCAGTTCCTTGTGGTTCCCAGTCCCCGCTGGGCCCGGGGAGGGAAACCGGGAGCCGACGGGGCCCGGCCCAGGGCTTTCAGGGGCGGCGAGGGAGGGAGTCGCCTCATAGAAGGTTTCGATCTGCGGTGCGAGTCCGCTGCGGGACTCAGACCCGGAACGCGTCCCGGAGAGTCTCTGCCCGGGCCGGGGGTCCTGCCCTGAAGGCGGCAGCCTACCTGTCGGACAGGTTGTCACCTGGCCCGAGGCCGGCACGGTGGAGCTGGAAACTGTCAGCAAAAGAACTTCACCACCACCACCATCACCCGTTAACTAGAAGGGACTAGCACAGTGCATAGAAGTAATACAACCACTGTTGACTGTAGACTCCCCCCTGGTAGCAAATCTGTTACAAGTATTTAACGCCCCATGACGGCTCTTCAAGGGGTCTGTATTACTCATTCACGTTTTTATGAATAAGGACACTAAAACTTAGTACTTTTAACTTATCCAAGGTCATAGAATTGTGGAGTATGGATCCCAGTTCTAGTCTAATTCTAAAACCCGTGTGTTTGACCAGTACTTATACAGCCTTCACGACAGGACATGTCTTAAGGAAGAAACTGATTTGCTTTAGGATTTTATTCTGCACATATGCAGTTTTAATACTAGTCACCAGATCAGTTGATTTTATGAGGAGTCTGAGCAGCGTTTGTCTACTTGTCAAAATCCACCGCTGCTACAGCTTTGCCCCTCTTAAGGTGTCATGTTACCCTTAACACTTCAATTTGTGAAAATCATGATAATAAGTTGATGCATAAGGATGGTATTAAAAACCATTGTATGATATTACAAAGGTCGTAATCCTGGAGTGTAAATGTCTACAATACCCACTACCTTGTTCATTAACCAGCCAGGATTATTTCAAAACCGGATAGAATTTAAAACATTTTAAATCCATGCCAATTTTTCAGTCTAAACTGTGAATTCGCCTTTATATGGAAAACCAGATTTTTTCTCGCCACTTTTTCTGATCTGAAATTTTAATTTACATTGATCATTTTTCAATGATTGGGTTAGAGTGGCTTCTGATTTTCTTGATTGTATGTGATGAGAAAGAATATAGCAGAGGCATATTAAGTCTTAGCTGTTTTTAAGAGAGTTCATTATTTGAACATATTTAATGCCCAAGAACCCCACAACAATCCTATTCTGTGGTTGGCACATGATAAATCTTCTGATTTCACAAACTTATTTAACATGTATGCACTGGAGTGTTCTTAAACCATTAAAGTTTATTGCCAAGACAGATAAAAATCATGTACTGTATATGAGCTAGTCACTGATTATTCTGTTTATGTTTTCACATATTCACTTATTATTTCTTCATCTCATTCATTTTTAGTCATTTTAAAAGCTGTTCTAATCCAAGGATCCTGGAGAGTTGCTATTAACTCTTATTACTCATCTTTTCATCTATAGTAGTTCTTAATTTTGATATTCAACAGTGCAAGCAAGATTGTTTAAAAGACAGTCACACAGCTTGACACATTTCCTGCAAAAATATCTTTTGTTTGTTTTGTTTTTCATCTGTATATCTTATACCTTCATCTAAAAGACAAGACTGTCCAGGTTTCTACCACTGAAACTTACTGCCTCTTCAATCATTTCAGCTCTGGAAAGGAAGAGAAATGGAAGTGAAAAAGTTGAGCATTTCCTGGCAGTTCTTGATAGTTCTGGTTCTGATCCTGCAATTTCTGTCTGCGTTGGATTTTGACCCATACAGAGTCCTAGGGGTCAGCCGAACAGCCAGTCAGGCTGATATTAAAAAGGCTTATAAGAAGCTCGCCCGGGAATGGTAGGTGACATAAAAAAAATGGACATTTAATACAAACTAAGCAGTCTAAGCAGCAGAATGAAGCCTAACTTATGATTGGCTTTTAATTATAATTTGTCTTTTCTCTCTGTTTCTGTGTTCACTATATGTATGTCTAGAATATGTAGAACTTGTGTTCATGTTCTATAGTTCTCGGGGATAAGATGCAAAGCCTACATTTACTATGGAACTTCCTTTTAGGAATACTGTGGCTTCAAGACTTGCCATAGATACCATTAGCATATTTAGCATTAAACTGAAGTAGGAAGCAACTTTAATTTTTTTAAAACCATGTTACTGGGCCGGGGGTTTAGCTCAGTGGCATGAGCGCCTGCCTGGCAAGCGCTAGGTCGTGAGTTCAATCCCCAATACCAAAAAATAAAATAAAAATAAAACCATGTTACTAACAGTGGATAAGCTACACTGCCCAGGATATATTATCCCCAGAGAAACTCTATAAGTTTAGTGGGAAGCACCATTCAGCCTTATTCTATGTGTGTGTGTGTGTGTGTACGTGTGTGTACGTGCATATGTGCTGTGACATGAAGGATGAAACCCAATGCCCTCTAGCCCCCAGGCTAGAAAAGTGCTGTACCAATGAGTTATATTGGTTTTTATTAGTTTTGAGCTTTAATAAACAATTTAATCCCAGCACTTAAGAGGCTGAGGCAGGAGTATTGCTGCAAGTTCAAAGCCAGCCTGGGCTACATAACAAAACCATGTCTCAAAAAAAAAAAAAAAAAAAAAACAGTTTAAGCCAGGCATAATGGCACATACTCATAAACCTGACTACTCCAGATCCTGAAGCAGTAAGATCACAAGTTCAAGACTAGCCTGAGCAGTTTAGTGAGAGCTTGTCCCAAAATACAAAAAGGTAGAGCCACACAGTGGTAGACCATTGCCTAGCATGAGGGAAGCCCTATGTTCCATCCCCAGTATGGCAAGCAAAAAGTTTAAATAGAGGGGCTGGGGATTTAGCTCAGCGGCATAAGCGCCTGCCTTGCAAGCAGGCAGTCGTGAGTTCGGTCCCTGGTACCGATAAAAACGAAAAAAAGACAAAAAAAAATAAAAAAAAGTTTAAATAGAAAGCTTTCTGCCCTCAGTTAAAAATGAATCCTTTGGGACCAAGTCTTATTTTTTAAGGAAATCTTATAGAAAATTCATGATTTTATCTATGAGTTGGCAGGCTAGCAATTAGCAGGAAAGCAATAAATCTAAAACACATTATGGACACATACATTGATTTCTCCCATCAAAACTTTGGCTATGATGAAGAAGCAGAAGTGGTAGATTATATAGCTGGAGGGCACACAGCAGCGGGAGAGAAGGATGGAAAGGAGACGGGTAGCAGCCAGCTAGCTGAACCACCCACAGGCAGTGAAGGGTGGTTCGTGACAGGTATCCCCACTCAGTACCTGCTAGCTGCTGGCCTCCAAGTTCTATGTGTGTGATCCCACTGAAACCTTATCATTAACCTATATAGGAAGAGATTGCTAAACCTGTTTTACAGATGAAAAGATCAAGACTCAGAGCTGGTAAATCTGTATCACCTCTGGGTTCCATGATTTGACCTGTATCAACACTTGGCTTATTGTTGTTTGGTTTTTAATCATTTGCCAGTCTGGGCAAGGGTAAGGGTGGGAGCTTAGCATTCGGGTGGCAGGGAGCTGAATGAGGCAGAAAGCAGCCACATGCAGCTGACATGGCTATGCCCAGCTCTTCCTGGCCCTTTCTTCTGTAAGCAGATACATTTTAACATTAAACTAATGGCAGTAAAGGTAAAAAGTAGCTTAAAATACAGTATTTTGAATACATATTTTAGACCATATTTATCAGGAAGAATCCCAAACTAGATCATTATGTGTAATCCCTTTCCAGGGACTCTACACCATATTTTCTTTCAGCAACAGTTCAAACTCCTGCCTGTTGATGTTAGAAGCAAAATATATGTATCTGCAGTTAATCCATAAGCAGCAACATTCCTGGTTTTTAGACAATGGCTCATTATATAGTTCAGACTGGCCTTGAACTCCCAGCAGTTCTCCTGCCTCAGCCTCCCAAATGCTGGGATTATATTCCTGTGTCACCTCCAGCAAGAGCAACATTCTTTTGGAGATGCTATAGCCTTTGACAAGAGTTTCAGAACAGAAATGATAGTTTGAGGATACGGAATCTGTTGAAATACACTGCTTTGACTTTTCTGTCTTCCAGAGCTGAAAAGGGTTTTATGATATTAATTAAATGAGTCATCCTCTTCCTTAATTAGCTCCTCTCTACCAGTAATTCATCATCATAGAGATGTAGAGAGTACCATCCAGTGAAAGTCTAAAATTTTACCTTTGTATTTCTGCTGTACTGTTGTTCCCTGTTTTGACTGTGGAAATGGACAGGTTTCAGCTTTACTTCTGCTGGTTTCAGTTTCATTTTGTGATGGTCTCATATACATTGAAAAACAGCCAGTGTTTCCCAGTTTGACTTTCAGAATGAGTTGTAGCAGGAGAAGTGATTTAATTGTTAGATTATGTTTTCCTAAGCATGTTAAATGTTCCTTAGACTTTTACAAGAATATTCCCTTGCTTGGTGAAATCCTTTGAAATTACTTTTTTTTCCTCTTAGGAAAACTGTTTCTCTCCCTATAATTAAGTTTTATCCTAGACTCATTTCATTTGTCATCCTTATTAGCAAAATAACTCCTACCCCAAGAAAAGCAGATTGATATTACATGGTTCAGCGAACCAAACAGTAAGTTGTCATATCCTTCGCTATATTTCTTTTTCTGTCTTGTTTTTCTTCTTTTTAGAGGTCACTAGTGGCTGGTAAATAACCATACACGATGCTCTCCACACTTTGAAATGTAAAGGTTGCTGTTTGTGAAATAATTTCGTAGTCACTGAAAATACCACCAGGTGATGCTTTCCTAGGGCCGAACATTACCCTATTGTAAATGTCATCCAGTTTGTGGTATCTTCCCACATTTAGGATAGTGTTCCTTACAAGCTAGACGTCTTGGGGCCGCAGGCTTGCCGCCCCTGTTGCAAGACTCCTGTTTCCTACCCAGCTGCCTGTGAGGTTCTTTCTGCTCCTGTCCTGAAGAGCCCTTCCCGGCTTCTCCCCTACAGTTCTTTATGTTAAATCATTTGTCAGTTGCATTATTTTATCCACCCAGCCGTTAGTCTTAACTCTGAGTATTGAAAGCACCTTTTTTTTGTCATTCAGAAACATGCTTTGGACTCACCATCTCGTTTCCTCAAACCATCCTGTTTTCGTTATGCCCAGCCAGGATTTTTTCCTATGCCTAGCCAGAATTCAGTGGTTAAGGAAATTTTGTCCAAATTCAACAGTCAACGATTTGAAGTTTCCTTGGTTTTAGAGCAATTGGAATATGTGGTATAATTCATTCAAACATACTCTTGCTAGAATAAGTCGGTCATACTGTAATTTATTTTTCCTGTCCCAATGTACTTTGATGTGTTTTTAATGGTCATTTACAACCCTGAGAGTTGTTTTTCTTTTTAGAACCTGTGCTAGAGGAACTTGAGTGGACATAAGCAAAACTGATATGTAAATAAGATCATACAGACTCTTTTAACAAAATAAGATCATACAGAATCTTTTACATAAATAAGATCATACAGAATCTTTTAACAAAGTGAATCTGAAAAAAATCAATCCATACAGAACACTGACTTAGATATTATGGAGCTTTAAGGAAATAAACTGAGTCCTTTCCCAAACTTCAAAATCCCACAAACTTAAATAAGAATAAACACAAAAAAGATTGCGGAATAGTATGTGACTTCAAGACTGTTAATTGCCAGCTATAGGTAACAGCCAATATTGAAGATTAGTTCTACTGTTAATTAAATTCCCATGAACTTTAGGGTTCATTTTTTTGACCATCTTAAATATGTAACCTTGAAGCCAGAAATGTTGGCACATGCCTGTAATCCCAACACTTGGGAGGCTGAGACAGGAGGATCACCACGAGTTTGAGGCCAACCTGGACTACATAGCGAGACCTTGCTATGTAGAAACAAAACAAATGTGGATTAAAACCATTATCCATTTAGAGCTAAACGGTACCACAGGCAGACTAGTAATGAATACTGGAGTGCTCTGATTTTTGAAGGTCAGAAGCAATAGACTGCTGGAACCCTAGCTATAACTAAGCAGTTACACTGTGCACCCTATAAACTGCTTCTCCTGCAGGCCAGTGTAATCTAAAAACACCAGCATCAGGTTCACTCTTACGTAGGGAGGAAATGCTGGTATCTTAGAAAAGCCTTCATTTCATAGCTAAGGGACTGAGCCCCAACCCGCTTTGCATGGTGTTGGGGAGTAGCATACACGCACACACGCACACGCACACATCTTGGCAGTGAAATGCTGTCATGCTGTGCCCTGCTGCTTTGAAAATGCACCCTTCTGGGGTGTTTCGGGAGGAAAATGTTTCAAGGTGTCATTGCTTCAACTGTATTTTAGGCAGCTATCCTAACATGTTGACCCGTTTGCCTCTGCTGTCGTGAACTGTGTGTGTGAGGGTGAGAAGTAACCATGTGTGGAAAATGAAATCCTCTCTCACCAGCTGTGCCTCTGTGTTTCAGGCATCCTGACAAAAACAGAGACCCTGGGGCAGCAGACAAGTTCATCCAAATCAGCAAGGCTTACGAGGTACCGCAGCAAACCTTGGGGCGCATCCTTTAGCTCTCAGTGCAATGTGCCTCCCGTGATTGGCTCTCTAACGCCCTCTCAGAAAGTGCAGGACCTCAGGCCCTGACCCAGGTCCACATGATGGTAGAAACATCGTAGCTGGCCACATCAAGTATTTGGAACATGAGCCTGAACACTTAAGCTCTTGAAAAATCTGGCCCTCCACACCCTTCCCCCACTCCAGGGATTGAATCCAGGGCTACTCTGTCACAGAGTTACGTCCTCAGCTCTTTTCTTTCTGATTTTGAGACGAATCCTCCCTTAAGTTGCTTGATGGGCCTTGAATTGGACTCCTTCTGTCTCGTCCTTCTGAGCAGCTGGGATTCCACTGTGTGCCATCACACCTGGCTAAACTATCTCACAGTCTTTAATTAGAATTATAAGAATACTTAGAATATATTTTGTATTACTTTTTTAGAAACTTTTGTTCAAGTGCAGATTTGCCCTTACTTATTAAAATGACACAAAGTTACAGAAACACTGAAACACAACTTCTTGATAGTGTTCCAACATGCCAGCTTAAGTTACTCAGTCTGGAATATGCCTAACAGAGAAGTCCCTGGCTTCCTGATTTGTTAGGGCATGCTTTTCACCAGAAATTGCTTAGAACATAGATTAATTCATCATCCTAAATGGATTCTTGAACCTTCTACCTCAAAGTTTGTTTGTTTTTTTTTTTAATCGTTACTGGGGATCGAACTCACGACTGCCTGCTTGCAAGGCAGGCGCTTATGCCGCTGAGCTAAATCCCCAGCCCTAAAGTTATTTTTAAGTAAAGCAGAGTCAGCTAACACACAAGACGCTGGACTCAATTCTGTGGCTACTTTTTGATATTCTCTGTCTCCAAACCTTGGTCTAAATGATTCCAACCTCATATGGTACAACTACTCCAGTTTTCTTGTAATTGACTCTGTCAACAGTATGTGATGTTTTATTTGCTTTGCTGAAGTGCTCACTGAGATAGTTTCAAATCTGTAATGCCAGCATGAGTGGGACCAGCTAAAGAACTGAGATATTTTTTTTTAACTGAACTATTTTGAGTTTATTTTGAGTTTTTTTTTAACTGAACTATTTTGAACTATCATGAGTTTTCTTTAATGTTTCTGTTAAAAGAAGAATTTCCCAATATATGGAACCACTGCATTTGGAATATTTGGGCAATTTAGTGACTGTCTCAAAATAAAAAATTTTTTAGAAGGGGCTGGGGATGTAGCTCATTGTAAAGGGCCTGAGTTCAATCCCCAGTGCCACCAAAAAAAGAGACAAAAAATACATACATCATAATCTTTATTTTCTTTGTCTTTCAACTTGCTAATGCAGATTCCTTCACATGAAACTTCTTTCTTGTTTTTTAGATTTCTTGTGCTTTTTCCTCCTTGTAGATTCTTTCCAATGAAGAAAAGAGATCCAGTTATGATCGCTATGGCGACGCCGGTGAGAACCAGCAGCAGCAGCAGCGAGAGTATCGCTTCCGCCACTTCCATGAAAATTTCTATTTCGATGAATCTTTTTTTCACTTTCCTTTCAATTCCGAGCAACGGGACTCCATTGATGAAAAGTACTTACTGCACTTTTCACACTATGTGAATGAAGTGGTTCCAGACAGCTTCAAGAAGCCCTACCTCATCAAGATCACCTCGGACTGGTGCTTCAGCTGCATCCACATCGAGCCCATTTGGAAAGAAGTGGTTCAAGAGCTGGAAGGACTGGGTAAGACTGCTTTATTCTTTCGGAGACTGTCAGCCTTCTGTTGCTGGGATGAGCTGACATACACTGCTTAATGGAGAAAAGGTTTGTTTTGGCACTCAGTTTCCGAGGGTTCAGTCGATGACCAGTTGCCACCCTTGCATTGAGGCTTGTGGAGAGGCAGGAACATGGTGGCAGTGGGGACAGTTGCTCACCTCATGTCAGCCAGGACGTAGAGAGAAAGGAAGGGACAAGGACAGGATTTACCCTGCTAGGCAGTCCCAGTGACCTCCGTCCTCCAGCTGAGTCCCGCCTCATCAGCTCATTCAGCCCTGAACTCACCACAGATTAATCCATTCACAGGGTCAGGACCCTTGTGATCCAGTCACCTCTCCAGGCCCCACCCTATACAGCGCTGCTTTGGGGCCCAAGCCCTAAGCACCCAAGGTTTTGTGAACAATTCATTTTTAAACCATAACAGAGATATTGGTAGAGGAGAAGGTGACTGTTCTCATTCATGAATTTATGGAATACTGGGAGAAAACAGCGGGTAATGTGATTTCTCTTCATGGGTTCGTGGTTGTTGTCCAGATATGTTTTCAGAGAGGGGCCACAGTAAGTCAGTTTCATTTTGCATTACTGACTTGAAGATCTAACTATATAATAAGTAGCCAAACACTCAGTTGGGGTCATCCTGGAGGCTATAAGTCTGAGCACATGGTGTCAGTAAGTTTGCTATCCTCTAGAGCCTCCCATGGCCTGCAGATGGCAGCTTCTCACTGTGCAGCCCCGTGGTCCTCGCTGCATATGCGTCTCTGGTGTTTCTGTGTCCTTACCTCTCATAAGGAGACCAATTATGTTGGATGAGAGCCCATCGTTAACAACCGCATTTTAACTTCATTTCTTCTATAAAGGTTCTTTCTTAGCTCATGCTGCCATAATGAAATTCCATAGTCTAGATGGCTTCACCAACAGAAATTAGTTTCTCATAGTTCTGGAGGCTGAGTCCCCAAGGCGAGGGTGCAGCATGGTTGACCTTTTGGGAAGGCCGTCTTCTCAGCTTATGAGGGGCCACCTTGCTATGTCCTTTTATGTCTTCTTATAAGGTCACTGATCATGTCATGAGAGTCACCCTCGTGACCTGATCATCCCAGAGGCCTTTCTTCAGGCACCATCACGTCGAAGGCCAGGGCTTCGGCACGTGAGTCTGAGGGGAACGTGAACACCCCTCCCTGTGATAGTCATGGGGTACTGGCATGAATCACAGATTAGCCTTTGCTCCTTCCACAGTTACCACCAGGGAATTTTTAGTGACCAAAGGAGGATATTTAATTTATTGACTCCCAAAAGTTGGAAAATCGCTGAGGGGTGTGTATATGTGTGTGTGTGTGTGTGTGTGTGTGTGTGTGTGTGTGTGTGTGTGTGTTCTAGGTCTTAGTAGACCTATTGTTAAGTAACTAGAACAGGACAGTCTCAACCCTACAGGCCAAGGATTGTGGATTTCCATGGAGATTACAGATTCCTGGAAACCACTGCTTTATTTATCCTAAAGAAAGTTTTCATCTTGTTAGTTGGAAATGTTTAGGTCCTCCGATTTGCCAAAATGCTTTCCTGAGAGGGAGCAGAGTTGCTCTGGGGAGAAGCTAAGGGAGTGGGCGTCGCGGCTTCTCCACGTGGCAGGAAGTGGGCGCGTGACGAGTGAACGGTGTTGAGGGCAGGTGGAAGCCACCAAACTGGGAGGCGTCTTCATCACAAAGCATCACTGCATCCGTGCCGTCGAGGTGTTGTGTGTAGGAAGGAGCTAATGCTGGCCAGGATCAGAACGCCGACTCCACAGCACTGCACATGCAGGCAGGGAATGAGTTTACACCACAGTGAGCTCAAAGCCCGAATAACACGTTAAACACAGCAGGCAAACTTACACAGTAGGAGACCACACAGCACAGTGGGAACCATCAAGTGCTGCAGGCTCAGGCTCAGGTAGGCAGACCTTCATGCTCTGTCTTCATGTCCTTTGTCTGTGGACAGACAATTCACCTAAGTTTCTTCCATCTAAAATAGCCAGGCGTGGTGCAGTACACCTCTAAATCCCAGCCCTCCAAAGGCAAAGGCAGAAAGATCACCTTGAGTTCACGGCCAGCCCAGGGTGCATAGTGAGTTCAAGACCAGCCTGAACTACATGACAAGACTCTGTCTTGGGAGAAAAATAATAAGCAATAATGTGAAACCAACAATATCGTTATGAAGAATAAATGAGAAAACTGTAAACTAAGGACCTAATACATATTAAGTTCTTTTAATAAGTAAAACTTACAGAATTGCTTTTTTTTTTTTTTTTTTTTTGTCTTTTTCCTTTTTATCGGTACCGGGGATCGAACTCACGACTGCCTGCTTGCAAGGCAGGCACTTATGCCACTGAGCTAAATCCCCCGCCCAACTTACAGAATTTCTGATAAACTGATTTTCCTAGTTTACCAAAATAGTTTCTTTCCCCAGTACTGGAAACCCAGGGCCTTTTTGGTTTGAGACAGAGCCTCCCTAAATTGCTAAATTGCTCAGACTAGCCTTGAGCTTGTGACCTTCCCGTCTCAGCCTACCAGAGTGCTGGCATCATAGGCATGTACCACCACACCTGGCTCCAAAGTGAATTTTTTTCAGTGGCTCTTTTTTCTATGCAGTTCAGCCTGGCCTTGAACTTACTATATAACCCAACCTGGCCTCAAATTCATGGCAGTCCTCCTACCTCAGCCTCCCAAGTGCTGGGATTATAAGCATTCACCATTAGCCATGGCTAAGTACCTGTTTTATTAACCCCATTTGACAATTTTTCCTAAATATATTAGTGCATTGTCTTCAATTCACTGGCTCCCATTCACCACTTTAGACTTATTTTGAGCAGAGCCTGTTTTGGGCCTGGCAGAAAGCAAGGAGCAGCCGTGCAGGCTGAGGGAGCAGGGGAGGCCAGGAAGCGACGTTTGGCATTTGAAGGTCCTGGATCCAAACAGTCCCAGGGCTGCATAGAACCACAGCGCTGGACTTCCTCATGTGGTTGAGGATTTAAAAAAATCTCACGGTGCTTTTAGGTGTTGTGCTTTGTCATTCTAGTAAATCAGGGCCAAGCATATAAAAAGCCAGAATTAGTGTCACATATCTATCATCCCACCACTGGGAAGACTGAGGCAGGAGGGCAGCAACACGTTCAAGGCCGTCCTGGGCTACATAGCAAGATCCTGAACTACATACTGAGACTCGGTCTCAGAAAACTAAAAAAAAAAAAAAATCAGAATTAGCATCCATAGTGTTACAGAAAACAGACCAAACATGAGAAGAAACAGCACCAAGGAGGTTTGGAAGGCAGTTTATTACACCAGTAGGATTCTTCCCCCTAAGAGTCAGCCCCGCCTAGTGGGGTGCTGGGGCTTTTATGGGGAATCAAGGGGGACGTAGGAAGGCAAATTCAGTGCATTACGACTGGAAGGTTTGGGTGACATCTTCATGTTGCTAAGGGAGTTTAAACATTTCAGGTTATATCATAAGGCCCATACAAAGCATGGGTTATTCAGAGGAAGAAATGTGTTCCGTTTTATTAAGATCATCAGTTAGACAAGCTTACACACAGGGAGGAATGTTCTCTTATCAGGCTTGTTGGGGCACAGACATGTCTGCCTGGTCTTGGTGGGCCCTTGGCAGGCTTTATTTAAAATTCTTAATGCCTCTTCCATAGAACTAATATTTACTAAGTATCTTATTAGTCCTCTGCCCTGCCCCACCAAATCCTGTAGAAGCAGGCTGTGACTACACTTGTGGATTACATTGGTTTGTAGACCATTTTCCAATGTTTTTGCAACGTTCAGATTGCTTGAAGATCTTTGACAGCTGGTTCCCCCTGGTTGCAGTGCGGTGACACTGAGCTGGCGTGAGGACCAGCACCACAGCTGTCCTCTGTCTAGTTCAGGTATCTCCACGCTACACAGTTAAGGAAAACAAAGTTTCTGTGTTGAGTTGACGGGGGAGCAGCGTCCCAGAGCTGCGTGGGGCGGCCTGGGGAAGCTTGACATTATCAGAGTGACAGAAGTTGCCTGATTTGCAGAATATGGAGCAGTAGATCAGTTACTTAGCTGAAACCAGCAATCAAGCGGTGTGGAGAGAAGTAGCGTGTAAAAGCACCCCGCATGTGCAGACAGCCAGGTCCAGAAACAGCGCTGCCGCTGACCTGGAGGAGCTCACTGTAAGTCGGAGAGTTAACTCCAGCCTCACATTTGCGAATGCAGACTGATCAGTGCTGCGGAAGCAGAAGGTAACAAGAAAGTCATCTCGTGTTTGCATTTAACGTTTTTTCCCAGTTAACGTCCGTGTGCCAATATTAGGCACTAAAAGACACAATAATTTTTACTGAGCATTTCAGTTGGTTTTCATTGTGCTAAGTGACCTGTGTGGATTATCTTTATCCACAAAGTAACCGAGTCAGAGAGAGACTGTCAACCCTGTTTTACAGATGAGGAAGCTGAGGCTTAACAAGGTGAAAGGACTAATTTAAAGACACACTTCTTTTATGCAGCAACACTGGGGTCTGGACCCAAGAGTGTCACTCTCTTCAAAAGTAAACCTGGCCATCGCAGCCAGGAAACTGAAGTGAGAGACCCCGTGTCCTCCCAGCACACACAGTGTTAGCGGGAGATGCGCACAGAGATGAAGTGATATTTGATTCCCAGGCATGAGCATCTTCAAAACAAATCTCAGCCCAGGGAATCCCAGTTTCAATGACCACGCAGTGATTATTCACTGTGACTTCCTGTTTAAAAAGAAGAAATTGCCCAGTTGGCCACGTGGTGGAGAATGTCTATAGTCTCAGCTAGTCAGGATGCTGAAGCAAGAGCATTGCTTGAGTCCAGGAGCTTGGGCAATGTGACACAACCTTATCTCTTAGAAATAAAAAGTAAAATAAAATAATCATTCCTTTCTTTCAGGTGCTTGCTGAGTTACATAACAATCTCATACAATCTAGAAAGCTTTGCGTATACATC